TTGAGTTCCTAGGGTGATTGTAACTTCCATCTTCATCTGAAGAACACATGGGGAGTGAATCATAATTGAACACACTTTTATTTTTCAGCACTAATTTAATGGGTGGGTGCATTGGGCAGGAGAGGAGAGAGGGATTTAGGGCTGGACAATAACAGTGTAATACATAGAGCTACAACGGGATTTGTCTATTCTTAACCGTGTAAAGAGATGCTGTTTGGTTGCACCCACCACCCACATGCTGCTACCAACTGGTAGAGTCCTTGACTGTGAGTGTGTGAACGCCCAGAGCTAACTTTTTATACATTTTTCAAGGTAAATGAGTAGAGTCTGCCTTTAAATTCTTAAAGTGGATGAGATTTTTGTGACTAGGTCATTGTGGAGTGTTATTTTGTTTTTTGTTAAACATAGTGCTAGTATTCTTGCTCTCTCCTGCCTCTCTCTCAAAACCTCAGTTGTTTAAGCTTGCTTTACTGTGTGAAAAACAAGGGAGACATTCTGCAAATTCTCAGCTGTTAAACTGCATATGTTTTTTTCCAGAATGGGATACAGGTGCCTGGATCCACAGGCTGCAGATTTAATAGAGGGGGATGGGAGGAGTTCTGCAAGAGGCCTCTACTTCACATTCCTTTCTCCTTTTCCTTTCTTCCTATTTTGTCAGATTTGTTCATTATATACAGGAGACCATAGAAAAAAAACCTGCACCCTGGCACAAAAGTCATTCTGCTTTTGGAGAGGTAACTTGTGCTGCCATTTAGCTCAGCACTAAGTGGTCTTACTGAGTGTAGAAATGCTTTCTGGAGATTTTCAAGGCACTGCCATTCATAAACATAGTAATAGAGAAAAAGTAGCATCTCTTACAGTCAGATTGACCTTTGAGTAGAGTCAAGCTTATGAGGCTTAACAAAATGCTATGTATGTTTATATTATTATAAGTGAAACTTTCTGATATCTTTTAATTGTACTGTCAAAAAAAATACATGAAGTTTCTACTCTATTTCAGTCTGAAGATAAATAATGCAATAAGTAGTGTGCTTGGTTATAGTGTGGGACAAGATTTCTAGAGAAACAAATAATTCTCTTTTAGGGAAAAGTACAGTACTATAGAAACATAGTATTTACTCAGCAGCTTAAGCAGACAGCTTTTATAAAATATGCGTGGGCTTATTGGTGTTTTGAAGTACAAAAATTTACGTGCTTTACTTAATATTTGCAATTTTAAACTGAAATAGTCTTAAATTTATCACTAGACAACTCTTAATCTGTAAACTTGCATTAGTCTTCTTCAATGCAAATCTTGTAACTGGTATTCTAAAAATGCTCTTGCAGAAGTTTAACTCAAACCAGCGTGTCCATTTACTTAGGATAATTTACATCATAACTGTAAAATTTTCATTGGCACATTTATTCTAACAAGCAATTAGCGTCATTCATATCCAGGATTTTTGCAAGAAGAGTAGATGAATTTAGCTCGCATAAAATTCTCACGAAAAGTACTCGTGGTGACCCTTGTTTGTTGGAGTTGGTGTTTATGGGCAGTCTCTTCAGCACTGCCAGTTACTGCGTAGCTGGAGTTTGGTGCAGGAAATTCAATGTACGTAACTTTACCTTGTGCTGTTACTGGTGAGGTGATGGAGCACCAGTGTGCTCATGCGGCACAAGCCACCTGCTGGGTACATTCAGGGCGTTCGAGCTGCCCAGCTCTTCTCCTCTTGGCTGGGGAGCTCATGGTGCAGCACTGGGCTGTGGTGAGGGGCAGGGCCAGGGAAGGGCCAGGTCAGAGTCCTTGTCGTGGCTCCCTTTCTCAGTGTGTGCATGTCCTCAGTATTTCAAGCATTTGTAAGATCTTTGGATGAAATATGTTCAAAGATAAATTATTTTCATAGAAGATAAAGGAGGACACTTCACATTTTTAAATCGCATGCGTTAATCTGCGACATGGATGCATAACTCTGTTGTTTTCTCCCTCCTCATTTGTTCTTTCTGTACTTTTGCCTGCTCCTATCATGTTGTAACGTAGGTGCTGTTCTTAGGGAGTGTATTAAATTTAATGAAGCTTCTCATTTGACAGGAAGTATTTACATACATTTGCAAGCAGAAGGTCAGCCCTTTACACTATGAGGTTTTCACTGAGAAAAAATGCCTTCTCTCAGTACGGCTATCTTGCACTAACGTGGTATACTCTCAGTAGTAAAACAGGAAGTAACATCCAACATGATACTGGTCCTTCAGGCAGGTCACAGAGGTCTAGTTGTGATCATCTTCTTGGATAAGCTGCCCTGTAATCTATTCAAGTCTTTCTCCCTTCGTTTCCAACCTGAACGAGAAATATACAAAAGTTCCTTGTCAGTCCTCTTCAGCAGCTGTTCCTTTGATTAATTTGCAGAAGATCCTTTGAAATGTCAAGTTACCCTTTACTTTTTTAGGAGATGATCTGGCACCAGTAAAAGACAGTTGAGCTGTGAACGGCAATATGGACGTCAAGAAACTGTTGGCCTTTGTCCAACCCTGTTTGTTAGATTTCATGGTTAATTACTCAAGACTTCCTTATGTGATGTGGGTTGTCACGATCTGTGTTAAATTGCAAGAAGTTACTTTCAAAAGCAGCTTCTGATGAGACAGGAGACAGGTTAACAGGAGGTGAAAATAGGAAGCCATTCAAGGTTTGTTCTTGGCTGTCTACAAGAAGGTTTCTCCTGAGTCTTTGCAAGCAGAGAGCTGGGGAGGGAGAACAGGGGCAGGACAGTGGTACAGTCCCTTTCCTTACTTAATGAAGGTAGGAACATAAACACAGTCGGAATTACCTTTGCAAGGGTTTTGTGCTGGTTTTGAAGCCAAAAGTTTCAAAAAAGAAGACCAAGTGCCAAGAGTAAGCTCTACACCAGCAGGAAGCGTCCCTAATAAATCAAAGAACAAATAGTTCTGAGACACAGATAAATTTGTTTATGGAAGGTAACCATGGATGATAGCAAATATATGACCATTTTTTCACAGTGTCTCTAGGCAATTAGGAAGATGTTTTGTCAATGGTGATAGGAGTTGGGGAGAGAGCATAATCCTCCTTAAAATTTTAACATACTGTGTTGCAGAGCATCAGAAGGAACTAGCAGTGTTTTCTGTGTGGGTTTTAGTACTTGGCAGGATCTGCTATGACTAAATCTCAAAAGACTGCTTTTTTTAAAAGTTGCATTTATTTATATATAATACAGTTTGTTAGCCAGAAAAACAACCACACCTTATCAAACAATGTATAGTCTTTATTTGTAGAAGGTTTCTAACTGCTTGCTAAACATTAATGGCAAACTGTGTGGCTGTGAAGGCAGTCACTTACTTGTCAGAACTCAGAGTTCCCATGTTAACTGCAACAAGCATGTGCAGAAAAGCTGACCCAGCATCCACCAGTGATCTTCTTCAGTCAGGATAACATCTGCACTCCATTTTCTTCCTTTATATAATTACATCTGTTAATGTTTTCTTAATATTTAGCATGCAGTGAGGAGTGTTCTTGTGAAATTATGAAATAAATATGTTCTTTTAGGAGGAAGAAAGTCAAGTGGCTAATGCAACAACCTAACTTATTTAATATCTCTGGTTAACAAAACACTTGCCTTAAGCAAAGCAAAAGCACCTCACAGGAGCTCTTCTTTCAGTGTGAATTTATTTGAATTATTTATTCAACGTTAAAAAAAAAATTGTGCACTTTTACGATTGGGTTGGACAAAAGTCACAGACAAAATCAGCACCAGATAATTCTTGCTTGAGTCGTTAAATCTGAAAACAAATGACGAACAAACCAAAATAAATAAATGACTCTATTTTATGAAATTGAAGTGTAATGGGAACCAGACTTGTATCCAACGAGCCTCCAGATACAGTCCATGCTTGCTTTGTAATCACTGTCTGGCTATGTGTGCGGGACGCACAGGAGCATGTCTGGCGCGTGAGATAATGGGTTTGGATTTGTAACGCGGCACAGCTCGGCTTCGCAGCCAGAGCTCTCCCCTCCGCTCACCTCGTCCCTCCCTGCCCGGGCACCGGGCTTGAACTGATGGCATTGGTTTCATGAAGTCTGGGTGGGTTTTTGGCGTGGGTGGTTTCCATGGGCGTGTGTGGAACAACAACATTGTCCAGCTATAAGACTGTTTCTAATCAGTTTTTAGTAATTAGTCCGGAAAATGTAAGCATTAGATATGCTTGGGGTTTAATTAGTTTACTTTCTGGAAATCCTTTGCTTGTTAGTCTGTGAAAACTTACAGCTGTCAACTAAAATTTGGGCGAGAATTCTCTGTAATCATTTCTGAAGCGGTTCTTCTGAGGATGCCCAAACTTAGATTTAAGCTTCTAAAATGCGATTGCCCTGAAGATGAGGATGTTGACCACTGGGTGGAATAGAATCGGACAGGCCAAGTTCTCCTGCTCCGGTGAAGGAGGACAAGTCTGCTGACTTCTCTTGACATGCCCTGCTTTACAGCAGTAGGTGAACTAGACTGTTCTATTCAGGATACACCCTCACTTGAAAGAGAGAGTAACTAACACTGTAAGACTACTGGCTTATCATTGATTTGTCTAACAAGTGTAGCAAACATTCACCAATTTCCTCTCTCAAACAGAAGAAGCCTACACTGAGACCACTTATTTCCTTTCCCCTCCCTTTTTTGTGGCTGTAACCCTGTTTACTGTGCAAGCAGTTTCGAAAAACTAAATGTGAGTTAGAAATGTACAAGCGGATGCTCAAAAGTGTTTGGCTTTTGGCTGTTTCTTCTGTTATGTCTTTTTATGAGATACTTTTATGCCTGCATGAAACACAGCTTATCCTCTTACAATAACTGACCGAACAACACATGCGAACAAAATATGGATGTTTATTGATTTAAATAGATGACTTGATACACTCTTAGTAGTGTAAGTCCATTTGAATATCAAGTTGTACCAACAGAGTAAGTTGGAAACTATATGGAAGTCAATACAAAACCCTGTGTAAGACTCCTCCTTTCCTCTGCTAGTGTTTAATTATTGGAGGTGGCCCATGTGGCTTGCGGACTGCCATAGAACTTGCCTTCCTGGGAGCCAAAGTCGTTGTCGTGGAGAAGCGGGACACTTTTTCAAGAAACAATGTGTTGCATCTCTGGCCATTTACAATCCACGACCTTCGGGGACTGGGAGCAAAGAAATTTTATGGAAAATTCTGTGCAGGATCTATTGATCACATCAGTAAGTATCTGAGGGCATGGGCACTGTTCAGATAAGAGGTGTACCAAGGTCAGAAGTTTAATGGAGACTTTTTTCATCTGACAGAAAACTAATCTGCCTTAAACATGCGCAAGTGTGTGTGCACACACATGTAGAAGGAAAAAAATGGTCTAATTTAAGCAAAATGGCAATTGAACAAATTACAGTCTTATGGAGCAGCTCTTTTGTTAGTCTGGATTTGTTAAACAATAGGTTTCTATTACGAAGTATGAAGAATGTTGATATTCATTCTAGTATGTTGAAGGTAGACACAACCCTTAATCTAATGAGAAAATATGCAAAAGTGGGATATTTTACATGGAAATATGCTGTAAAATTTTCTATCCTAAAATGGTCAACATATTGGTTAGCAGATCCTTTAAATATTTTTAAGAAGGAAAGATCTAAAAAAGTATTCTAATAAAGTCACTGAAATGAATTTTATTACCTGTGAGTTTGTGCTGCAAGAGGAAACAGAGAAGATGGAAGAGAACAGCATCCTGTGGTGGTTGCTACATTTGCATTCATCACAATATAGGAAATAATAATGCTGCATGCTTGTGGTAACAACGAATATCAGTTGGGTGGCATGCTGTTAGCATCTCTGATTACTTATGTATTAAATACATCTTTGTTACTCACTGTCTACAGGTATTCGACAACTTCAGCTTATCCTCTTCAAAGTTGCACTTATACTAGGAGTTGAAATCCACGTGAATCTAGAATTTGTGAAAGTCTTGGAACCTCCTGAAGATCAAGAAAACCAAAGTATTGTGTATTGTTCTGTTCACAGTAACTTCTTTTTTTTATGCCAGGCATTATTGAAATCATTCAAAGTAGCTGAATTCTGTCTAAAGAAATGGGAGTTTTTGCCCTTCTTATTCAGCTAGGTTTGCATGATAAGTATTGTGACACTGGTAATTCTTAAAACATGACCCAGCCCGAGAAGTTGAGGTTTTGCGCTATCCCTTCTGGCATGTGTTTGAGGATTTGTAGGATGTCTGGTGTGGCTTTTTGGTATCTTCTTGCAAAACCAATTTTCAATTGATAATATAAATATTGAGTATGGATTAAGCTCCCTGGACTTCATTTTGCTTTCATATTTGATATGACTCCCACTGGCATACACAGTCTTATCAGCCATCTTACGCAATATTTTTAAACAAAATAAAGATTTCTCATTCTTTTTATTTCTTTTTTTTTAAGATTAGTATTTAAGGTGTAGTAAACCAGAATATTCTAAAATTTTACTTTAATTAAAATGCTCTGCTAACTTTCTTTAAATGGTCATATAGTGACAGTAGAATCAATATATTGGTTTAAATAGTTAAAGCATATGTAATGTTTAAATATGGACAATGCAAACATTTTCACATAATCAGCTTTGAGTTAATGAAAAGATTAAATCTAGCTTTGTGAGTATGCTCCTTTTAATTTCTACTTAGAAGACAATTAAAAGTATTGATGATGGGATGCTATGTTTCTTCTTTTAATACACAACCTTTCCTTGCTGTAATCATGTATATGTACTGTCCTGATAAGGTCACTGTGGGGCTATTTTTGTGAGAATGAGATACTTAAGCATATTCTTGTGATGTGGATCTGAGAGGAAGTTTAGTGCACTAGGTGATCCAAATGAAGGCTTCCATTTTTTTGTTGTCAGTTTGAGCTTGACACCTTGCTAATACAGCCTGAATGTATCTTTGACTGCAGCTGAACTTCCCGCCATCGGAACAAGGCAGAATTCAGCTCAGTTTGAATGAGGAATAGAGCATTTAATGGCCTTTCTACAGACTGTGAAATCACTTCTCCATTGTATTACTGAAGAGTGAATAAATATTATTCTTTGTGGTTTTAGAGATAGGTTGGAGGGCTGAGTTTCTCCCCATGGATCACCCGTTGTCAGAGTATGAATTTGATGTTATTATTGGTGCGGATGGCCGTAGGAACACATTAGAAGGTAGGTGAATGCGTGCTTTATCCTTGTTCATAGTCTTTCGGGTGTTTTGGAAGGCCTGAAAGAGGAAAACACAAAGCAACAGGCTGCCTTTCAGTCCACTGAAGTCTGTGTGGAAACTACTTTTTATGTGGTATCTTCTGCTTTTGTTGTAAAGTTGTAGCTCAAAAGAAAGACATTTAATGTTGTTACCAGTTCTCAGCACTGTATATCTGCATTGCCTACAAAACGCATCATGATGCCATTGGGCTTGCTTAACGGTTAAGTAATTATATGATGATTTAACTTTCAGGAGGCTGACAAGATACCTGTCAGGAGTTGCATAGTCTTTGCTATTGTGCTGTTAATTTGCACTGTATGTTTGAACTAATGGCGAAAATGTGACTGCCAGGTACTTAATGAAGGCATCAGAGGTATCGCTCTTTTATAGAAGTGATTTAACTTCAGAAGCAGTTACTTTGGAACTGATCTCGAAAGATAATAGCCAACTTAAAGGTGGGGGGAAATGTTTCATGAACTTGGGTCATTGTTAAGAATTCAGACCACCTGAGCTGTCTTTCTTAGCGAGACACTAGCTAAGCTGCTCCAGTATCACATGAACAAACCTTTTACTTAATTACACATTCCCCTTGTAGCTTTAATTAGATTCATGTTAGTTTCAGTTCACTAAGTACACTATTTTCTTTTTTTATTAGTTTCATAGTTTGTCTGCTTGTTCTTCTATCTGCCAACCACAATATGCTTAGAGTTAATTCCTTATAATGCTATATTAGAATTTTCCCTATGCTATTGTCCAGCTATCCCCTTACCTGACTATTCAGTCTTTTATCAGCAAAACACAATTATTCTTACCTCAGCTGCAGACTTTGTTGAGAAGTTAATGGTTATCATAGTACCAGGATCTAAGGGAACATTTGGTGTGCTGAAGATTGTTTACATGCAGAAGCTGGTTTTGTCATGTTAAACTTATCCCAATGAAATAATGAGAGCATATCAAGAAGCACAGAGACAAAAATTCATAGCTGATTTATTTCTTCTTAGAAAACACGTACATTCTCTGAAAAGTCATCTGCAATTGGTGAAAAATACTCTAAGGACCCTTTATCCTACTTCAGAACATACTTACAGATGAGGGGAACACACAGAGGGAAAGACTTAAAATAGTGATTGCACGATTGTGGCTTAGAGGGTGGTTTTTGTGAAAAGAGGAATCTAGGATGGAGCAAGAGAGCAAGTAACTTCGCAGTCAGTCTCACCTTGGAAATCTAACAGTTAAGCTGCTGATATTTTTCAAAGCCTAATATCTTTGAAAATCTTCATTAGCTGGTAGTGTGTACACCTAAGCACTGTTACAGAGGTTTCTATTTTTCAGATCTTTCTCTGCTGCTTTTGACTGCTGATTTCTTGCATTTTTTTCATAAGCTGTTTACCACCTACATAAAAAACAATCTTATTTGCTATTTAGCATGTTAAAAATGTTTCCCTCCATTAAATTTGTTCTGCTCTATTTCCAGTCTGTTTTTCTGTAGTCATCATTTGTCCTTAACTTCTTCCCATGTTCAGCTTCTTCCCATAGTTCCCCTCCAGACCTATTTTTTTTGTAACGAGACTTTATCTTGAATGCAGTACAGTTCCAGTTTTGCAGCTGGGAGTGGGGAAAAAACACTCCTTGCATTGAAGAGAATTTTGGAGGAATGACACGATCTGCTGATGGTGTGTTCTTTGATGAAGTATAGGACTAGACGTAGGAAATAGACTGAGCTGCCTTGAGTTGACCCTCCCTGAAAGTCCAGTGTGAAATTTCCAGTGTTTTTAATTCTTTTCTTTGCTTACCAGGTTTCAGGAGGAAGGAGTTTCGTGGAAAGCTAGCTATAGCTATTACTGCCAATTTTATAAACCGAAATACAACTGCAGAAGCCAAGGTAGAAGAAATTAGTGGTGTTGCTTTCATCTTCAATCAGAAGTTCTTCCAGGACCTTAAAGAGGAAACGGGTGGGTGCATCCTCATTTTTCCCACAACCAAACACAAGAGGCAGTAGAGGAACTCTTTATCTGTCAGGCCACCTTCCTATTAACATCAATTTAAATATATTGTATAAAAAAAAAAAAAGGTGATAAAATGCTGTTGATGTCACAGTTTTGCAGATGGAAGTGTCCATTTATGGTACAGTGGAATTTTATTTTGCTTTTTTAGCTTGGGCGTTGCCACATCATCGCTTGTTTCAATGTTTAAATTTTTCTCAACTGTAAAAATGTCTGCTATGTTGAACAAATTTAGAAGAGTGTTTTCAGTGCCCAGAGATTTCCCTTAAGACATGGTTTATTTTGTTTGTATCTGTTCACATACTGAGCAGCTTAAACCCTGTGAAAAAGGCTCTGCCCTTCTAGGAGGAGTTTATTCTTGCTTTTTGATGTGTAGATCTGATAAACTGGGAAGAACTGAACAGGAATCTGCCAGCAATATTTTAAATATAAACTGTGAAATACATCTGTATGAAAAGAGGCTTCAGACTAGTTGCATCCACTGTCAGTGTAAGCAATTCCATTCTGGATTTATAGCTGATTTATTTTTTTTTAATTATTATTATTATAATAAAAACTAAAACTCCTGGTTAGACCCAATGCCAGAGCCCTAGCAACCTAAAAACCACTATGTTCCCTTGGCTCCCCTTTTCTACCTCAGAAGATTAAGGCTGTAGTTAACTGGCTGTTCCTTAAAAGGATGGTAAATAAATAATGCTGAGAAAAACTCTTGTGGGATAAGGCTGATCTTTTCTCTTGTTTTGTTTCGTTTTGTTTTAGAGCATCTCATCCACTAATGCTTCATCCTAGCTGGGAAAGTGAATGTATCCTAAGAAGGAAACACACTTGTGGGGATCAATGACATGTTGTTAGTAAATAACACAGACAGCGCACTGTACTTCATAAGAAATGTATTTATCTCTTTTCAGGAATTGACCTGGAGAATATTGTTTACTACAAAGATAGCACTCATTATTTTGTGATGACAGCAAAAAAGCAGAGTCTTCTGGACAAAGGAGTGATTATTAATGTATGTAAAACTGCTGGAATCCTATTTTATTTACTTGGCACAGACTAAGTGTGAACATCTGCATAAACGTAGTTGCATGTTATAAAGAATGTTTATAGACTTATTAGATCACTTAGATCTTACTCTGACTTTTTTGTTTGTTTGCTTTTTCCCTCCAGTCAGCACCAAGTTTCTGTAGAGAACTGAAAACAATACTTCCTAAATTTGTTCGTTCTGAAACTGGCTGAAACGGGATCTTGACTCACCTTGGAAATACGTGGTGTGGTCATCGCACCAGAAAATAAAAACCTCATTTATTTAAAGGAGAACTTAGCACAGCTATGTCCAGTTTTATCAGGCAAATAACAAAGTGTTAAAACCTACCCCAGGCTAAATTGCAAATTCTCTAAAGTGGGTGAAACGTGATAGAAGGAGGCTGTAAAAACGATGGCCTGACCTTTCTAAGGTACTTGGGACTTAGAGGCCTTTTTTCTTATTTTCTTTTTTTTTTTTCCCCTTTTTCTTTTCCTTCTTCTGTAAGATGTGAGGATTTGTTTTCTTTTATTTCTAGAAAGTGTTCTGGCACCATTTAAATTTCTCTTCCTGGAAACCCAAGAGAGGTCAATTTTTCTTGCAAAGTAAAACAGTGCCAAAACAGTCAAGTATAATTTCCCTGAGGAAGTACTTGTGGGGAGCTATCAGTAGGCTTCTTGGCTTTCTGATGGAACCACTAAGCTCAGTAACATGATTTCCTGCTCTTTTGGAGGACAGGGGCTCCCAGGGCAGAGCAGCTGGCCTTGCCTAGCTGAGACGAGAGAGGGGAAGGTTGGCAGCCCCCAGCAGTGTTGGAGGGAGTGGGAGGTGGACCCCAGGGCTTGAGGAGCTGATGGTTGTAGGTGGGGGCAGTCCCAGGAGATCCATGGGAAGTTTGGAGAAGAGAAGCAGCAGCTGTGGCCTGTCAGAGCTGTTTCCCTGACCTGCCAAGGTCTGAGTGGAAAAAAAAACCCTAAAACAACTGGGCTAATAGCAGTTCTGTAGTATCATCCCTGTGATTAGGGGTCTCATCCATGATTAAGCTGTAAATAGAAACTGCCTTATTAATAATGACTGGCTTTAAGTAGGATGACCTGTAAAGGCAGGGTCCTTTACCACACTGGCCAAAAAAACCCCAACAAACAACGAGCCCCAAACAGTACAATAGAAAAGCTTCTATCATCCAAGTTTGAATGTGTTGTTACTGAGATGTTAAGTCAAACCTTCAGGCTGTGACCCACGTGTTTGTATCATCAGTACATCAGTATTTCTGCTCTCGTGTGGTTTCAGATGTGGGGTGCACACATGCAGAAAAGCATTGCAGTAATGATGATAGCATCTTTTGGTGGGAAGAAAGTAATGTTATGAAAATAACACATAACCAAGGAACTGGGAGGCACTAGAATATTCTGTTGCAAGTAGAGCTGCTTATTCAATGTTGGTATAGAGAGTTCCTGTTTGGGGCAGTTCAGTAACCTACGTTTATGTGTTAACTTTTTGGAGGAGATGACAGATCTCACTTTGTTCTTTGTGCTGTGAGATGTATAGTTGCCACTCTGATGCTGTGAGACTGCATCTCTCCTATCCAGAGAGGATAGTTGGAGTATCTAATCCTGCATGCTTCTCTCCTTGCAGGACTGCATTGATACTGAGCTGCTCCTCTGTGGGGAAAATGTGAACCAGAGCAATTTGCTGTCCTATGCCAGAGAAGCTGCTGACTTTGCAACCAATTACCAGCTGCCTTCCTTAGATTTTGCAATTAATCACTACGGGCAACCAGATGTAGCTATGTTTGATTTTACTTCCATGTATGCATCTGAAAACGCTGCACTAGTGAGAGAGAGGCACAGACATCCTCTCCTGGTGGCGCTTGTTGGAGATAGCTTGCTTGAGGTATGTCTTGGAATGCCTTCCAAGTAGTAGGTTTTGGGGTTGTTTTCCTTAGTCTACCCTCTAAAACAAACCGTCTTCTCTGACATATCCTGAGACAACGATACTTTCTTTGGAATAGGTGGGGTTTTTTCTGTTTTTTTTTTATGCCATAGTTTATGTCATAACTAATGCTTGGCTGGCAGTCTCTGGCTGAGATCAAGTTTTGCTTTATGCAAGTTGTATTTCTGTCTGAAAACTATGAGCTGCCTGTCCTCAGCTTCGGTGCATGGCATAATTTTCCTGACTTCTGTCATAGAGAAAAACTTGGTCCAAATTTTTATTGCAGTCTCTTTTCCTCAATACGTTCTCTTTTTCTCTTTCTGAAGTGAAAAGTGTATGTTGCAACTAGTTTTTGTTTGGTTGTTTTGTTTTTTTTTTTTCTAACTCCTGCTGACAGCCTGAAGTGCTTGAAAAGATCAGTCTAAAGCAAAATTAGGAGATGAGAAGAAAGGCATCTTTTCCTTTTTTTTCTCCTGACTAATTCTTGAGTATTGAGTTGTCTTTTTTTTTCCCTCAGCCTTTACCTTTAGAGGTTAAGAAATTTGTTTTTAAATATAGAAATTAAAAAAAAAAGAAAAAGTGAAAGCAGTCTTTTTTCATTACCTAAGACTTGGAGGAGTGAAACATCTGAAAACTACAAGAATTGGCTGTTTTATTTTAACTTTCTGGGCTACTTTTGTAAGACAGTGGGAAACTCTGGACTCCAAATTTACATTGCAAGTTACTTTTGTAATAAGACCTTAAGAAATACAAGAGATTAAAATGTCAGTGCTTCTTACAGCCCTTCTGGCCAATGGGTACTGGCTGTGCAAGAGGCTTCTTAGCTGCTTTTGATACTGCATGGATGGTGCGGAGCTGGGCTCAAGGAAAACCCCCGTTAGAAATCCTTGCTGAAAGGTGAGTGCTGCTTTGTCGTCTTCATGGTTTTCAGTGGTTTAAAGAGTTGTGGTATTGGTAGAAGGCAGTGGAACTTGAAATGCCAGTAGTAGAAATATTCTTCACTGCAATGGCATTGGGTTGAAATTACCCATTCTTTCAGCTTACTGAACAGTTTACAATAGCAGTAGGCTGTTGCTTTGTAAGCTTCTGCACACTAATACAGAGGTCCAGCAATGTACATAACATGGGTTTAAATCACTAATTTAAGTCACTAATGACTAGAATTAAGTGCGATCCTTAAGGAAGTAAACTGAAGATAACTTGTGTCAAAAGACTAACCCTCCAACCATCTCAGCACCTGTTTTTTTAATTAAAAATTTTTTTTTATGAAACAAGTCTAAATAAATGCTTTAACACTAGCAGCTTTTATAGTTGCTATCTGTGACTTTTACTCTGCATTTTCAATTAGTAGCCCTGATGCCCTCTTTATTTAGAGTGATAAATGTGTGGCAAGGGAGAATTGCTAGAATGCTGCATCATAAGCTTGTCTATGTAATGTCTTCTTGACCAGAGCAAAAAACCTGTTGTTAAGTACACCAGCAATCCCGGTGTCGCCATGGTCTAATGGTTAAAGTTGCTGACTTTGGTTCTGATGGCAACTGCTCTGCTCGGCTACAGCTGCCCAGGCTGTTTCAGGGCAGACACATAATAGAAGTAGTCATCGTTGTGGTAATGTAAATAGAAGCATTACTGAGCTTTGAGAAGTTTTAAGATAGAAGCCTGTGGGATGACTCAAACACGGCATAGTCCCAAATGGAAAATTGAACAGCATAATAAAAAAGGCTGTGGTGTTATAGGAATTGCAGAATGATGGGATTTAGTGCTGTTATGTGGTAAAGAAGTTACTCCTTGGGTGGAGGTTAAAGCAAAACCAGATGACTGAATGATGTAACCTCCTTTTTTTTCTTTTCCTTTTTTTTTCTTGCTCGCTTCCTGCCTCAGGAAAATATGGGCATAAGTTCTAAGAGTCTGTTTTTTTGTTTTCCTTTTTCAATCTGGCATCCTTCTCCTGCTGAGCAGGGATGAGAAATGGGATTGATGCATTATGCATTTAGTGCATAACACTTGTCTTGACAGAGTCAAAATAAGGTGCACATAGCTGCAAAAAATAAAATACTCTTTATATAATATTTATTTTAATCAATATTTCTTGTGTCTTTTTTTCCTCTATAAGGGAGAGCATTTATCGACTCTTGCCTCAGACTACCCCTGAAAATATTAATAAGAACTTTGACCAGTATACCATTGACCCAGGAACCAGATACCCAAACTTGAACTCAAGCTGTGTTCGACCTCATCAGGTCAGTATTTAGAAGGCTTACTTGTGAAATCACAGTTATTTTTTTGGCCAGGAGAAATAGGGTCACAGGTAGTGCATAAACAAAATCTTCAGGAGGCTTCTAAATTTAGATCCAGCTTTCAATAAAGTTAACATAGGAAGAAAACTCTTTTTTCCTCTCCAAGCAATTCTAACATTTTGCTGCCAATTGCTTTTACTTGTAGGTGAGACAGTTATATGTTACCAATGAGTTACAACAATGTCCTCTTGAAAGAGTAAGCTCTATTAGAAGATCAGTGAATCTCTCAAGACATGGTATGTGACATTTCGTGTTTGCTGTGGAGCTCATATTTGGAGCCTTCTGGGCATACAAAAACTGATTCAAATGTTTGCTCTCCACTGTAACTGCAGAGTCAGATATTCGGCCTAACAAGCTTTTGACCTGGTGTCAGAAACAGACAGAAGGGTACCGTAATGTTAACGTCACAGACCTGACTACCTCCTGGAAAAGTGGCCTTGCATTGTGTGCAATTATCCATCGCTTCAGACCTGACCTCATGTAAGTGACCTCTGTAGATCTTGTTGAGTGTAGGATATATTAAGTATTTACCAAAGCATAGTGTAAGACCAACCAGAACAACACTGATAGTCTACAGTTCCCTTCTATTGCTGTTTTTTGCAAGGAGGTGCACACCCTTGCCAGGTTTGGGGAATGGAGAGGGTGGGGTTGTTTTTGCTTTGTTTTTTTTCTGTGTGTCCTTGCATGCTATTTAAAATGAAATATATGTGCTTTCAAGGAGCTAGGGAGGCTTTGAACCTTATGAGTTATGATCATGCTTGTGGGAGTCATATGGCTATTTAAAACAAAAAATTGCGGTGCTTGGGGAATGTGAGAGTTGCATTCCCAGGTCCCTGGAGTCAGGTTTTTAGTATATGTGTAAAACCAGAGCCATCATGGCACTGTCATGAATTACAGAAATACCTGCATGAGCCTTAAATGAGCCGTCCTCAACGTGTTGTAGTGGTTGCTGTGAGAGTCACGTAGGGAAATGTTGGGCCATGGTGGAGCACGGAAGGTGATGGTTTTGCACAACTCCTTGTCCAGAAGAGCACAGTGCATGTGGGCTATGCAACAAGGGCTGGCCCTTGAAAATTAACTGCTTTAGGGATTGAATGTAAGTCAGCGTTCCCCTTTGACAGTGTTTCTGGGGTCCTAACCCAACAAGACTGGTTGTCTTATGTGTAAATATTTCGTAAGGTTTCTTGGTTAGATAAAAGAGTGTCAGTGCGTAACAGGTGTCAGGAAATGGCAGTTGCTGACACTGGGTACTGGGTCTGCTTATTAAATCTTAGAATCATGCAGTCTGTGGTGGGGTGACTCTTCTGTCCTCTCAACAGTCTCCAAAACGCAGTGGATGCATTCTCTTGCCTTCCTACACAGATTTAGGAGTCACGAGTGAACTATTGTCTGCCTCCCTTTATTGTGGATAAACAAAAGAAATGATTGAGCTTTTTTATGAGGTGTGATAAGTTGGAAAAAATAGGAGCGATACCTAGGATGCTTGTTTGTACAGCTTTGTCAAAGGAAGAGCTAACATTGTAAGAAAAAGATTTTTTTTTTTTTTCCTAGGATTAGTTTGAAAAAATTTGAATTATTGATGATTTTGTGGATATAAGGTGGGGACAGAGAATGTAGAAAGTAGAGTAATCCTTACTGTCTGTGGAAAGGATGTCTCTTAAGCACTGCTCTCTCGAGAATGTTGATATATTTCTCTTCCTGAGCTAACAGACCTCCTGCTGTTTAATTAACATTGTGTTTGGATCTTGTTGGCTTTTTGTATTAAATGGGACTGCCAAAGGACTTGGCCAGATGGAAGCTGGGTAGGCAAGAGAGGCAGGCGAGGCTGGGGCAGAGGGCTGCCTGCAGCCCCCTGGCTCTAGAAATAGACAGGGTGTGTGGGTGGGGGGAAGAGAGAGAAATTCTTTGGGAGTTCAAAAACTCACATTTCTTATGAGGAGAAAGAAACTGCCCTGCTTAGAGCTTTGAAATTTATTTACATGTTTATTTTAATCATGAATTTTGGAAGCTGTTCAAGGGATCAGTCTTAGAATAGGTCCCATAGAAAATGGATTAGGGAATGGATAATGCAGTTCCAGCTGTGTGATGTATTATTTAGTGCACTGCTAAATCCAGTTATGACATGGACAGGAGGTCCTCTTTCAAACTGTGTGCACAGCACCTTAAAAAGAAAGGTAGTGCCTGTGCACGTGTGTGTGCACATATGTAACGTGTTTGTTTCATAAAATGCTGGCGTAAATTTACTCCTCGTCACTTTGATTAATAGAACTAATTGAAACCAACTAGTCAATGGGTAACAGGTGAAATCTGTAGTAGCACAGCTGTATTTTGAGACGAAAAAGTTTTCTTAGCACTTCTGAAGAGGAATTGCATTTCTTCATGAGTACGGGAATCCTTTTTCATGGGACTGCATCAAAATCTAGTTCAGTGAAATACCTTTTAAATTATGTTTCTGGCAAAGCCAGGATTTGTAATAACGGGATTTATGAGACTCTTACTTTTGGCATTGTGTAGACTCTGTAGCTTTGAGTCAGTGCCCCCATTCATGGTGCTGTTCTGCACCTCTCCAATGGGCAAGGGAGCACTGCGTGTTTCCGAGGGGGGCAGAGAGCAAACCGCCACTGATGCCAGTATGTTGTCCCCACAGTGACTTTGATGCTCTGAACGAAGAGGACGTTGTCAAAAATAACCAGCTGGCATTCGATGTTGCTGAACAGGAGTTTGGGATCCCACCTGTGACCACGGGGAAGGAGGTGGGGTCAGCCGGGGAGCCCGACAAGCTCAGCATGGTCATGTACCTCTCCAAGTTTTACGAACTGTTCAGAGGTACACCTCTGCAGGCAGTAGGTAAGCTGAACCCAGGCTGCTCCTAATTCTTGCAAGTTTGGGGAGTGGAAGCACTTCATCCAGGCTGCTTACGAGCACTGCTCTTGAGCCAAGAGTCCTTTCCCAGCTGAGCCATTCTGGCATGCGCGTGTGCCTGCTTCTGTCTACAATAGTTACCTTGTGCTTAAAAAAAGGAAAGGGGGAAGAACTTGATTGAAGACCAAGGTTTTGTGGGTCCTTGGTGGTTTCAGAGAACAGGAGCAGCTGGATAACTGCTGCTTGAAATCATGAAGTTCATGTATCAGGTCATTAAAGCGGTTCTCTGGTAAGGACAACTGTATGCGGCATGGCCGTTCCTGGATGTTTTTCTTCCTTTTGTAAAAAGTCACCCTTCATTGTATATATTTACTTCTATTTGCCTGGGTTTCTTATATGTAATTGTTAACCAGCACTCAACTGGCAAGTTCTGGCTTAGTCAAAGTATTTAAAAAACAAATCTGAATAAATATCTTAAGCAGTTGTTTTTTGAACAGATGCTGGGGACAGGCAAAATGGAGAAAATAATGATCTTTGTTCAGCAAAATCATCAAACTTCATCTTTAATAATTACATCAATTTAACTTCACCAAGAAAACGAGTACCAAAGGTAAGTTGTGAAGGAAGACTTGCCCTATAAATCTTTCCCTTTCAAAAAGATGAAAACAAACTGTCAGCCTCAGAAATAAAGGTTTTATATATATCCTATTACTAAAAGACTGGTGGAAGGAGATTTTTTTGAGCATAGTGGAAAAGTAAAATAAGATTTCACAGTAAACAAAGCTAATACACATGTGCACACTCAATCCTTATGGTGCTTGTAATGGTGAAACTGAAGCACTGTCAGTGTTAAATTGCTGAAGCAGTAATAATAGTCCCAGTTAGGTGTTCTCTGTAAATGCAAAATCTTGAAGCACAGTGAGAATTTGGGTGTACTTGAGAAGAATTCATATCCGTTTTCCATGTCAATCTTCTTCAGTGTAGATATAAGTGAAGGGAAGAGGATGTTTTATTTGTGTTTGTAAGTTGCAGTTTTCAATATGGAATATTTGAAATCCTGGCTCTGTTACCTGTATTGTCTTTTATGTTTTATTTTTGAAAGTTTTTCACAAGGTGTTTTCAGGAGATTTTGTGCAATGCTAGATGTTAAGTTTTATTTTTTTGCTGGGGGCTTTGGTGGGTTTTCTTGCTTGGTTTGTTTTTTTTTTTGAAACAGAAAAGTCGTGTATTTTTCTGGGCTATTTCTGCCTTAAGAAGAATAGTACCATAGTTCTGTATTCCTAGAGTTAAATACACAGCTATAATATTATATATCAGTTAAAATAATCACTGATATGCTAGAATACTTGTTGATTGAGCAAGGGTTCTGTTTTTTTTTTTAACTAAAGCAGTGATTTGAGCAGTTTGTGGATTCTGTCAAGGTTCTGGAGGGAAGCTTTCAAAGCTTTATAGATGTCTAAAGCCTGCCATGATGACAAACAGTGGGCAAGTTGACTAACATGACTCAGAGATAATCATCTCTTAGTCATACCCATGTAGTTTTCTCTCTTGGTCACTTATTAATGAAAACTTATTGACATACCCTGTTTATGTCCCTGTGTAAAACACATCCATGCCCATACATGTTGCAATTAAAGACTCCAGAGCCTGGAAGGAGTATGGAAACCTGAGTTAATACCATCTGTCATAGGGCTGTGTGCAGTGAGAGTATTGTCTATGTATTTCTAAATGGATTGTAACTTCAAAAGTTCTATATAATTTAATTTAAAAGTTACTCTGATGAAATTATTTAGTAATAAACTGTTTCACGTCCTGCCTATTTATTAACTTGGTCCTCTCCTGAAAGGAGGCCTTGAGGAGGGACTTTGCTTTCACAGCCAAGCCTACCTTTATTTTAACTTCAGTTTAAACAAGGAGTGTCTGCACAACCTGGCTCAGAGGCAGCAGTGTCACAGGTACAACTGTTGCAGATTAATCAGCACAAGTTAGACAGCAGCATGTATTCTTCCACCAAAATGAATTTAACTTCTGCATTTTCTGAAATATAGCTTAATGCAAAACTGTTCCAGGTTTTGAGTTTCCTGGGCTAGCCAGAGACAGTATATCGACTGTCTTCTCAAGTTCTTTCTTTGGCTTTTTACTTTTCTTGTTTTTTAAACAGACCTCCTTAAAGCTTAACTGTATTGCTTCATTTACACCTATGCAGAGACTCTTAAGTTTTTTCCTGCGAATGTGCAGATTTCCTACTTCTTTTAGAATTGAGTGTCCATAATAAAAGTTCAAGTGTACATGTATGTACTGTATTTCTCAGTATTTTAATATATTGCTTTTTAAATTTCTTGCTGTCTTGTCTTCTCAGTTTTGGTAGAAATGTGATTTATTTATTTATTCATTTTTTCACTTGAAGGATTACTCCAGAATTTCTTAATATTTTTTTGACTGACTTACATCTTGAATATTTTCTGTCCACAAACACGTTTTGAAAACCTGCCCAGGAACTCAACTGCCCAGGAACCTCATATATGCTTGTTAAGAAATAACTTTTCCCTACCACCCCCATATGCACAAAACGAAGTGACATGTTTCCCAGCTAACCAAGCACTGAGAAACCAAATAGGCAAAGTAAACATTGCTTTTTCTTGTGGGTGACTTCTTCAGAAGAAAAACCCTTTCCTTGACCACAGTGTCATTGTTTTTCCCTGAGTTATTTGCAGAAGTAAATAGACTTTTAGTAGTGGAGAGAGCTTTCCATTACTAAGCTGTACAGCCCTCTGACTAACCTCCTGTCATGAAATAAGCCTTCTGTCATAACAGAAGCTATATTTCTTGGCACTACATGAAAGCATGAGGTGATTTGCTTGACGGGCCCCTTTGGTTTCACACTACAGGGGCTTGTTTGAAAGAAGAGTGGAAGCGATATTTTCCAAATCAGCTTGGGGAGCAGGACTGTCAAGACCTGATTTTGTATGAGGCTTTGCAGCCTTGTCATGGATGGGACATGAAACTTAGCAAGAAACACAGTACTCAGCTTAGGACAGAGACTCACAAGTGCCATAACCATCTGAAATTAGGTGGGAGATGAAGCTCCTTGGAAAGCTTCTTGACTCTTAACTGCGTGAGTTAAGAATTTGGCTGTGGCTTCAGTTTTGTGGTTCTTTCCCCTGCAAAGAGTGGTGCTGAGCGTTATCCAGGTATGACTGTAGGAGAACACTTGCATATCACAGAGTCAGAAACCAGCCAGGGTAACAGAGCGTCACTTCCTAAACTTTCCGTACCATCTAGTTTGTCCTTTTGTTTGGCTGGAGGAGGGATCCTTATCTGGGCGCAGGTTGTGAGAGACCAGGAAGCTGGGGCTGGGAGCTGGTGTGGCGGTAGCTGTTCTGGCAGCGTCTGCTGGGCTGGATCATGTTTTCCATTCTCCTAAGAGTGTCAGCTGGGCTGGAGAGGAACTGAGGTTTCCTGTGCTCCAGACTAATAAATGAATGGAGGTGTTTACACAATAAAGGACACGATCCTTTTTCTTGGAGTTTTGCTAGGCAATTAAATTGCTTTGTCTTTCACTTCTTTGTAAATATGTTGATGAAAGTCCTTTGTGTAAGGTTTTTGAAAGGCAACATCTTGTTTGCTCCATTCAGTTAGGCAAATTCTGCTTTTATGTGGTACGGATTATTATGCAGAATACATTGTGCGTTAGGTTCCTTGGTAGACTAATGATTATAGGTAGCGTAAAGCTAGATTACTGGGAGCTGGGGCTTGAAAGACAATGTACCACAGCATGCAAAGTAATCAAAATATTGTCATCTGATTCTTCTGGTGTTTGCCCAGAAGTTGTTTGGGATTACTTCTATTCACTGCGTAATGATTTATTACAGTGTATATGTAAAAAGAGAGCATGTGCTCTTTGATCTTTCTCTCTTTATTCTTTTTCTTTTTTCAAGTTGGCCTAGCAATCACTGAGTTTACAGCGTGGGCAAATGCAAATAAGTGGAACAGTTTATTGCTGATAAAATAGAACCTAACATGAAACTTATCAGGCAAAAAAAATCTCTTAGTTGTACCAGTACTTCAAGACTGAATTTAATAAGAATTGATACAAATTTTTAACCATTTACTGTTCTACAAGTTTGTGTGGGCTGAGTATGAAATATTATTTATTATTTGTGTAATCTCTAGTTCAGTAAAATAATCAAATATGTGTATAGCTTGAGGACAAAATAGGCAATTTAGTAGCTTAAGTACTGTAAGGTAAAGCCATAGGGAGATGAACTTTACAAGGGAGACAGACCTTTAAGGCAGACAATAATTGCTCAAAAAAAAAGAGATATGTCTGCACCTTGAACACATGATTTGCATGCAGATATCTAGGTTAAGAGATGTGGAGGCTATATTGAAAGTGTGATAGTTCTTTTTATTTTGTTATTTATATGGAAACCAGTGTAGTCTAGATGAAAATTCACAGAATAACTAATGCTGTAATGCCTTTTCCTTCAAGGATGTGCTAGTGCTTTGTGAATGATCAACTCTTTAGGACTAAAAGAGGAAAAGGTAAACATCAATGTTCTAGGGCCTGTGTTCAACGAAGTGTACGAATGTGTATTTTCACCCATCAGAGTCCAGTGGGAGCTCCCAGTCAGGGATTACAGGGCAGCATTTACATATGTGGTAACAGCCACGAGGGCCACCAGGCTCCTTATGCAAGGAACGATCCTGCTGAGCAGGGAGTGCCTAATGAGATGCACCAGTGCAATGAGGACTCAGCATGCTAGTGCTGCTCAACAATGTTTGCCTTGTTTAACAGAGGCCAGAGCACACTGTCCTGGCTATGGAAGTTAGTGTCCTGGGAGGAACTGCCTGGGTAAATCTAGTAACTGCTACAGTAATCCATAGAACTTGTTTTGACTTTACCGTTTCAGGTTGAAGGAAAACGAGAAGAAAATGAGTCTAACAAAAGACGTCGAAAAGGTCTTTTTGGCGTCTTTGAGGAGGTTGGTGTTCAGTGATGTCCACCCATACTCAACTCCTTGATGAGCACCAGAGTGCTCCCACCAGAAGCAGTGGGAGTCGGGGGGCCAGGGCTTGGCCTCTTGTGGTTGGCAGGAATAAAAAGCCTCTCCCCTTAAATCCTTGAATTTACTGTGGTTACACTAAAATGCTACATTTATTTCTATCATTTGGTAGGGAGGGGAGCATTACCTGAACTGCACTGGTTTTCTTTCTGACTCAAGAACATTTATGGCATTGGGATTTTTTTTTTCCTTTTCCCAACTCAGTTATTTAAGCAGATTTTTGTTTGACGAATTTGCGTTGCATATTGGTTCCTAGACCCTCTCTGATTAGTTACCTTTGTGACTCTGCTTTATCAGCAGCAGCACCGATTCACGTTCCCTTTTTACTGTACTCTGGGACCAAAGAAAATATTTTTTGGTGACTTCTGCATGCTAAACAGTGTAATTTTTAACATACTGTAGACTGTATTTCCTTTCACCCTTTGCTAATAAGGATGTTATCTCTCTCTCCACGAGTGTCATAGGTGAACTCAAGAAAAACAGTTTGTTGTTTCCTTGCAGGCTTCAGGCTTTTCAGGCCAAGGCACAAATGCTGGAAAAGAGCAGAGTGATAGCAGAGAAGGAATGAACCAGAATAAAGTTAAATCAATGGCAACTCAGTTGCTGGCGAAGTTTGAAGAGAATGCTCCAAATACAATTTTTCGGAGGCAGGTAGGTCATAGATGAACATAAAATTAATCTCTGAAATTAAACAGCAGTCCCTCTTTGTCAATGCAATGTGGATTTCCAAGGGAAATGTGTTTGCAGTGTGTTGTCTTTTTTATATTTTATGCAAATTGAAGGTATTCCTCTCCATACTTAGCAAACAAATATGACCTGGTTATGTATGAGCAATGCATATTAATACAATGTATTAGTATCTGTTATATTAATAAAGTGTTGTTGAGTTGCAATATCTAGAAATCTCTTGTAAGCCAGTCTGTAGAATTTTTGCTTTATGTGGAAGTCTTAAGCTGGCTGCATATGGTATTGCAAAATGACATTTTTTTCCTATATTCTGTGAATAAAGGACACTACATAGCCAGTGAAATCTATCTTTCTGGAAAATTTAGAAAGCGTGAGAAGAGAACCTAATCTTTTGCAAGATGTGTCCTGCTGCCATTTCCATTCCTAAAGTAGGCATAATGGAATATATTCGTTCATTCCACAGTGTTTTCATGGTTTGTTGTCAGTGTGACGAGTGGTGTTTTAAAAATAAACCTGTGCTGTCAAGGTAGGGATGATAAGATCAGAGTCATGCTTTAGCTAGTGAGAGGGTTTGAGTCAGCTGAGTTAGGATGTGTCACCTAGAAGATCTGAAGGAAGGATGAGCAAGGTGTCGAGGTTCTGTAAAGGGTGGTGGCTTTCTTAATTCTTTGTGCTTACATCCATTTGTTTACATGTTTAAGTCCTCTAGAAGTGTAGCCTTTATAGATGTCGAGTGACTCAGTCCGTGGACCTCTATTGTTTGCTCTCTACCTGGCTACTTTTCGATGGCATGAGCTTTCTGCATGTGATACCTATGTAGATGTTTGCTTGGCTGTGTTGAAGGAAGCCTCGATGTTTTACCTTTTGATCATAACCTCTCTTGAAGAATACTGATTGTGCTGCATTTTAAGTATATCTTTGATAGTAGAAGGGGTTAATAGAATGGGTAGGTGACAAAAATCTGCAAAACATGTTGTTAAGCTCCGTTGTAACATGTCTTTCAAAGCAGCTTTTAATTCTTTCTGCCTTAAAAGATCTTTGAATCCTATTTACTGTCTTCCTTTTTTTTTCCTGCTCTGTCCTTTTAATTTTAAAAATGCTTTACAAGGAGCCAATAGATAGACCAGCCCTCCTGTCTTCTGAGCCTCCTGTTAACCCTCGCTTTGCTAAACCTAAGGATCCAAGTCTTCTTCCACCTCAACCAAAAAGGCAGGTAGGAACTCATATGGACAAAACCTGACGAACTCATATGGATAAAAACTGACAAACACAAGATTTCTCGTACTGCTGGGAACTCAATGTTATTGTGTAACTACAGAATATATAAAACGATATCTGGATGTAAACTGCAGAGTTAGCAGATGTATTTAGCTGAGAATTGTGAAAGCCACATTAAAGTTTAGTGCTATTTTATACCTGCTTGGCCAGATAAGAAAAGTATTTGAAAGAATTAGTAACTGTGTGGAAAAAAACCTAAAAGCATATGTGTTGATTTCTGTGTTACCACGTCTAGACTCCAAATTGTATAAATATCATTATATAGCTACATTTCACATGCGAGAAAACTGCAGGTACCTGAAAGTTTGTCTGTGCATGACTCGATGCTTTGGGCGGTTGTAATGATAAGGCAGAGGGAATATTCCACCCTTAGAAACCTGGCAAAATGTCTAAGATAAAAGCTTGAGTATTGAAAAGCTTATATTGATGCCCAGAGTTTTTTATTTCTTTAAGTAGAACTTGTTGTAAGAATTTCTGCTGGAAGCTCTTTTTGCAGCATCATACAGATGAGGCAAAAGTTTTTAATACATTGCTGAAATTTTTCTCTTAGTACTTCCAATGAAAGCAATCTCATATCAAATAATATTGACGTTCCCTTTACATTATAGTTTTAAATGGAAGTAAATATCTCGTAGTGGCATTTCAGGAGTGGTCTGCAGTGAAATGATATCTGCATTGCACATGGAAATCTGCAGATCGGCTTGATGAAAAATGCAGATTCATAAACCAGATGAGAATTGTTGTTTGAAAGGCAGGTGTGCTATCCTGAAACATCAGGAGCACGCTGCAAGTTGATTTGCGTTAGGTTTTTAAATTTTAATTCTGAGAAATTTGGAAAGTTTGTGTATTTATTTGAATTGAACAGATAGGATGAGGTAGAAAACTATCATGAAAAGACCAACTGGAAAGTAATTTTTAAGATTGAATTGAGTAACACTGAACTGGTTCGAATGCTTCATTTACTTCAAAAGCTATTTTATATGAAGATTCAAATTCAGAGACCTCTTGCGAACTTGTCAGAAAATACTTTAAATCTGAAATACATTATAGCTTGACCTGGGTCAGACTAGGTCTAGAATCATGCAAAGAACTACTGTTGGTATTCTTACAATTCAATTGTAAGTTTAGTTTTGGGTACATGTGATGCTAAAAACAAACAAACAAACAAAAACCCACAAACCAAAAAAAACCCCAAACTACTAAAACCCCAAAACCCCAAACCTTTGCTGAAAACCCTAGAAGGAAACAGAGTGTCATGGTTTTTCTGCACTGATGCTCTCTGAGATTATCCATAAAAACTGAGACAGACCTAGAGAAGGATGTCAAGAACCTGCATAAGTTACATAGTACTGATTTATTTCAGTGCTTGAACACAAGCATCAGAGGTGCCCTAGGCAGTGTGGAAAGATTGCTCTGAGAACGTTTTATTTCTAGTTATGTGCATGACTATGCTGCGCTTTCGGAAGCATCCTTAAAAGCTGCATATACTGCATGGTAGTGCACAAAGCAGATTTTTTTTCACTTCAAGTGTTTCCCAGTTTCAGGTAGCTAGGAGTGAACACGAGGTCAGGGAAACCAAACAGTCTTTAAATGATTCTGATCATATGGCCAGGAGAGCAAAGACTGTACAAAAGCCAGATACCCAGCCCAGTCTGTCAGAAACCTCTGAAAATCTCGCATCTGCCTGTTCTGCTGCATTTGTACTTTCTGGAGTGCTTGAGCGTCTTCAGCACCTGGAGGAAAAAATGAAACAGGTGATAAGCAATTTCTTTTCCTTTCTGTCTCTTAACTGCATATGTTAATCTGTATGTTGTATTTTCCCTGGATATGCTGGCTTTTCCTCTGTTGACTTTAGATTATATTAAGACAATAAGTCTATCTACAAACTTACTGTATTCTGACGATATATGTGACATTAACTGAAATCTCTCTCTCTTTCTTTCTTTTCTTGGCTTTCCTTCCCTGGCTCTTATTGCAGAAAAGAGCTCAGACCATAGCAAATAGGGAATTCCATAAAAAGAACATTAAAGAGAAAGCAGCACATCTTGCCTCAATGTTTGGATGCATGGAGTTTCCAAAGGTGAATATTAGGTTTTGCACCTGAAGAAGTGCTAAGTTAGAAGACACATAAGAATTCATGGGGGAAGGGCTGGGAAATTACAGTGGTTTTGTTTTTAATTTTCTTTTCATCGTGGGAGGATCTGAAAAGTAATTTGGATTCCACTGAAACTGGTGAAAAGCTTTGTTTAAATATTATCGTATAATTTAATTGAGGTAAACACAATCTAAATCATAAAGCCTAGACAGAGTACTTTAACACGAGAGAAATGTCTAGAATAAACTGTCTTGTGCTTATGTTTATGCTGATAGCTCACAGTTTCTGATGAACTGGTGAGCAGTAGCTCTCAGTCGGTGCAATCTGGCATGTCTTATGTTTCATTATACTTTCTCCCAGCACTATCTTACCTTACTTCCCACTGTAAATATTTTTTCTAAGAAAACTGGGTCCAATAATATCATTTGACATGAAAGTTTTGCCATGATGATTTCTGTGCTCCTCACTGTGCAGAAATAGTGAAAGTAGCAGAACTGTAGTTGTTATCTTTCTATTTTTTTTGATGCATGACTCTGAAATTATTCTCTTAACCCGTGCTAATGTCACTGTCTCTTGGATAACTCTCCTGTTTCTGCTCTACGCAGAATAAGCTACCTGCTAAAGGCTTATCCCATTCTCAGCCCCCAACTCCCTCTTGCCCTCTACCTCATGATTCAGCTGCTGCCTCTTCTCCATCATCTGTCGATTCAGCTTCCTCTGCTGTTCCTTCTAGACAGGTACTCTATTAACAGATTTTTTTTTTTCTATAACATCCAAACTTTCACTAAAGCTGCTTGAGAAATGGCTCGGATGTAAGATACTGCTAGCAGATCTGTTGTATAGGTTGTATTTCACATTTGAATCAAACTTTACTTTGTTCACTCTTGTGAATTCTGCATGTTTGTAAGAGGAAAGTCGTCGTTAAAAATAGTTCAGGTATAAAGCTAAAGAACAGAGCAAATAGTTTACACAATTCTTACTTCAGTTCTGAAAATTTTACATTGCTGCTTATTTTAAACACTATGTTGGATAACATGGCAGACATGCCTAGCAGAGAGAGCGCTTCACATTGTATAGCTGACTGGATGTTACGGGATCGGTTAGTTGTTCTTGGGCGGCATTTGTGTTTCCTTTCATAAGAGTATCTGTCTGGACTGGTGGGAGGAAAACCTGCACAATAATGTTTATTTCAACTAGAGGACATGTCTTAGAATTGTATGAGCACTTGTTGATGCAGACTGATTTTATTGTTGTTTGGTTTGTTTACTTATTTGTACTTCAAACTTGCTTCTGCACATTAATGGCTAAAATACAGTTCTTTGTAACAGTGAACTTTACAGAGTGGAAACGTGCATACTCTGAATGAAATCAATTAGATAACACTTGAATCAGAGATACTCAGCTATTACTACTTATGCTGATGTTACAATGGACTGTGCTTTTATCTGTGATAGATAAGATGACATTGGGTTCCAACTCTGTTTACTTTAGAAGGATTTTAATTGAATGAAGTTTGATATTTTGCAGCTTATCAGGGCATGTAAAGGCCCAGGTTCCATATCCTTCACCCACAGATTACATAGCAGCAGTCTGGGAACACTGCAGTATTGAATAGGGTTGATGCGGAAATAAAGGTGGAAGCATCAAGTTTCTAGAAATATTGAAGGCGACTGCTGTGACCAAGTGTAAGTGCTGCTGGAGCTGGTGGCTCTGCTGCCTGACACATCAAAGAAGTGCTATTCAACAAAACTGAGTAGTCTCCATTCACTGTAAGGAGGGGCAAAGCATTCTGCCTGCTTTTGTTGTATTTAAATAACAGTAGTTTTTTTAAATACTCGTGAGTACTGCCCGATTTCAGGTAAGCCATGGCTGATGGTCATTTCCCATTTGGTGGGAGGTCAGCAGGATCATTTAATGGAATTTCTTCACTGAGGGTGGTGAGGCACTGGAACAGGTTGCCCAGAGAAGTTGTGGATGCCCCATCCCTGGAAGTGTTCAAGGCCAGGTTGGATGGGGCTTTGAGCAACCTGGTCTAGTAGAAGGTGTGATGATCTTTAAAGTCCCTTCCTACCTAAACCATTCTATGAATATGTCTAGATCTTTTTAGGTTATTTTGCACTATATTATTGATGCTGGTTGGAAATCGAGCTTCAGCCTCAGCTGTAACTGAGCAGCAGGTAGATACTGCGCTGACTTGCAGTTTGCCAAGGCACGTTCCTCAGTTGAGGTAGAGCTGTGTTGAAAAGACTCCTTTCCCCTCATTCCCCTGGAAAATATAGGCTACACAGCCCTTCAAGGACACTGCAAGCCCAGCAGGTGCCTTACTGCAGTAATCCCCTAATTCCCTTCAGCTTCAAAATAATTCCTTTGCCTGGATTTACCTCTTACTTTTTATGACCTAGGGGAGGTATAGCATGTGATCGGTTTTAACCTAAGTAATGGTTTCCAAAATATCAGGGCTTGTTGCTTGTTTGATTTGGAGAAACATTGTGACAGTGTGAAGAGCATTAGAATACCCAAAAACTATGTGAACAACCTTTTAGCATATGAGAACTAGGCTCTTAATTATATGGAAACTCTGAGTGAAAATTTTACTGGGACTTAAAAATTTTTTCTTAGAGAACGTTTGGCCTGAGCAATCATTTTTTGATGTTTTAATTCAACTGAGTTTTGTTTAAAGTGCATTCACAGCCTTTTATTAGTTTGCCATTGTATTTAAATGGTGTAGCAATAGTTTGTTGTGACCTGATTTCACTCAGGCTGAGTTTACTGTAATTGAAAATGCTCTCTCCAGAGGTAATGGCAGAATGCAGCACAGCTGAGGCAAGAAAATCTTGTTCTATTAGCAACACAGTAAATATACCTTTGTCTCATTTGGTAAATATTTGGTTGATTAGGGAGGACTACATGTATTCTTTGGCAGATCTACATATATGAACATCTTGATGCCTATTATACTTCTCCATAGGGTTGTACAGGCTCGGGTCTTCTTGTACACTGTATGCATTACATATGTCTAAATATGGTGCATTTGGTATGGCATGTTTGAGAATTTTTAAATAGCAGGTCTGATAATGAACAGACAAACTTTTACTTTCCTCTTGTTTGAGGCAGATGCAGTAATAGAAAGCTGATCCAAATGAACCCCAAGTGATGATGGATTACTAGAGATATTTCAATGGGAAAGGTAGTAAGCAGATTTTAATTTAAAAAAAAAAAAAAAGAGGGGGAAAAAAAACCCACCTTGAACTTCCTTTCTGGGGTTGCCAGTGAGTACAAGTGACATTGTTGGTGCTGCCCTTCCCACAGGGATAACTAAGAGGGAGTGGAGGGGTTAGACAGTCAGCCATGGTGTCTGCACAAGGCTGTTGCGGAGAAGAGGAGGGTGTCTGTCCTCCGTGCCCACTGTCAGCATAGTAAGGGGTGATGGATGGTCGCTGTGGAAATGGAGATTGAGATCAGGCTTGGGGATGGGGATAGGGGACCCTCGAATGGTAAGGAGCAGGGTGCTAGGGGAGGCCTGCAGGCTGCAGCACGGATGCCTTTTGGAGCACTTTACTTGTGTGAAGTAAATGCACGTTGGCATAAAGTGGATCCTGCCCTGGGGACAGGGGATGGACTCAGTGGCCCTTTGGACCTGTGTCCAGGACTGTATTTGCATCAGTGATGTGCTGGTGAAGTGTTACTGGATGTGCTAGACTTTTGTTCTTCATATTATTTATGTGCTGTGAGGCTGATTCAGTCGTGTGATACCCCTGTTACTTTACCTCTCTTAGGGAGCTTAAGTTCTCTTTCTTTTCAGGCTACACAGGCTGCCTTCTGCCTTGCCTTTTGTTATTTCTCAAACAAAATTTTTCAAAGAAGCAGATTTCTTACTGCTGTTTTTACTGTAAGAGTATTAAATCTTCAGGGAACACCTGCTGCAGTCTTGATTTCATAACAAGCAATCTGTCTGTGCTCTTCCGTGGTTAAGTTGTTATGCCTGTGTTTTATCTTTTAAGATGGCACACTTTTCATAACATGAAAATTTTAAAATGCTCTATAAGACACTGTCTAAATGTGCAGCACTATATAACTAAAATTTGATAATATTTCCGGTTTTCAAGTACTGTGCATGATAATTTGAAAATATATTTGGACCTCTGTGCTGTGAATATGTACTGGTAAGTGCCTGTGTTTGTTATCTTGAGGGTGGGGTTATTGGACTCTGTTCTGAGATACCTCACTAGGAAGCCCAGACTTCAGTATGAAAAAGGGTTTCAGGATTGGTAAAACAACAGAAGGAGCTCCCTCACGTCACTCTCAGTGTTTCTGCATTTCTGCCAGCATAAGAACAGAAGATAATAGAAGTCTTTGAGTTTTGTAAGACTTCATGAGATATGACCTATAAATATCAAGACCCTCCCATCCTTTAAATAGTTACTACTGTCATTTTAATTTCAAGTGAGTACTAAGATTGTTGTCAGACATGACAGTCCTTTACATCTGTTGAATTTTCGTCGGAACGCTATTAGTTATGGTGGCATATTTATTGAAAATGATGGCTAAGAGTTTTTGCTGTCTTATTACAGAAGCTTGTTATTAAGCCTCAGTCCTGAAAAGAGCACTTGAAAGGAATGCTATGGAAGTGTATTGTTTCTTTTAAAGACTTATAGTCATTACAACTTACTAAGAATTAACTTGTATATGATACTATATGCAAGTTGCCAGTAATAATCAACACTGCCTTCTAGCTTTAATCAGCTGTCAAAATTCACATAGGTAGGATTATGAATTAACAAATATTATATTACAGGCTGGGCTTTGGTTATTCCCGTTTTCTGTTTAAAGTTGGGTTGACCTTCAGAAAACTGTGTTCATCTGAGCTTTGTATGGATGAATCCACACGATACGTCATAAGAACTATGAAGATGTTGCAATCAGTAGGCTTTGCTGCCTGCGGAGTTTGGACCCACTACTTCCCTTCAGTGATGTGACTCTAATTACCAGCAGTAAGCAGGGCTTGGGTGTTTCCCGCACACAGTAACTTATTACTCGAATGCTTTTTATCTCAGAGGTAAAATATATGTAGCAGGTGGTACCAAAAATAAATAAATAACCCTCAAAGTGAAATAAGACCAGGAAAATCATTAAGGATATGAAACAACAAAGGAGAGGCATTGTATGCTTTCAAAGGCAGAGAGCGTGTTTCCTTTGTTTTATGAAAATACTACTGAGGCTTACTCGTTGGTTGGCTGGGGTGTTATAAATAATAGCACAGGGAAGTACAGAAGGCAGCTTTCTCTTCCTGCATTAATAGCCATAAACCTGCTGAAAAGCTTTGGGAACGTGTCACTGACAGATCAATAGTCTGAGTAAGTCACAAACACTTGGGGGATTTTTAAGTGTTTTCTTGGTGGTTTGCTGAAATTAGCTATGTAAGGTAACTCTTTAAGGTTCCTTTCCAACAAAGGTTTTAAAGCTACTGGTATGAACCTGCCTGAACTGTGAGCAGTAGCCTGTTACATATTGATAGTGGCCCCAGCACTACAAAATTGCATACGTGTGTGGGACGTCACGTACACTAGTAGCCTCAAGGGTAGTAAGTGCATGAGCAAAATATGAAACCAATTATGTGTATATGAAACCTATTATGAGTTTCTAGGGTACCTGAGCCAGCATCAAGGCAGAGATCTGTGCGCTGTTGACCAAAGCTAAGCTGGGTAAGAGCTGATAGGTTCTCTAAAGGAACGTGTGTAGATTTGGAGTCAGACTCTCTCCCCTGCAACTGGAGTTTGTTACACTTACATGATGAGACGGGTGAGGATGTTATTGAAGTCCTTGTCCTCATAAGCAGGGTGAGGTTTAGAGAAGACACGGGGTTGCTCGGCAGTTGTGCTGTTGTCATACAAGCGCAGAAGTCATAAGCCTTGCAGGGCAGTGCTGCTTTTGTGTGCCCCATCCCTCCCATTCTCTGCGGGTTTCTGATGGTGACAGGTGCTCATGGGCCTGCCCTGGTGGATTCTTGTCCTGCCCTGTTTTTTCTATTCTGTGATTGAGTGGCATTTGAATAGAATAGGATAGAATATTTCAGTTAGAAGTGTCCCACAACGATCATCTAGTCCTGACCACTTCAGGGCTGACCAAAAGTTAAAGCATGTTGTTAAGATCATTGTCCAAACTCCTCTTAAACATGCCTGAGGCATCAACTATCTCTCTAGGAAGCCTGTTCCAGTGTTTGACCACCCTCTCAGTAAATAAATGTTTCCTAATGTCCAGTTTAAACCTCCCCTGATGCAGCTTTGAACCATTCCTATGCATGCTATCACTGGATACCACAGGGAAGAGATCAGCACTTTCCTCTCCACTTCCCCTTCTCAGAAAGCTGTGGAGAGCAATGAGGTGGCCCCTCAGCCTCCTTTTCTCCAAACTGGACAAACCCAAAGTCTTCAGTTGCTCCTCAAAGGATGTGCCTTCCAGTCCTTTCTCCAGCTTTGTTGACCTCCTCTGAACCCATTCAAGGACCTTCACGTCCTTCTTAATTTGTTGAATTTCATCCCATTAATCATTGCCCAATGCTCCAGTCTACCTAGATCCCTCTGCAAGGCATCTGAAAGGGACAGTGCTGAGGCTGTAGCAAATTCATCTCCTCTTGACCACCCACATACCTGATTCAGTAAGGAGAACCAGTAGAGAACTTCCCCCAGTAGTTTCTCTAAAATGAACTCTAATTAGTCCTCAAGTCCACTTGCTTCCTACCCTACCTGCTGGTCAGTAGCAACAATGTTTGTGTTGGTGATTGTGGATTAGGAGATGGGAGCAGTTAGCAACCTTTTGGTTGCTAGATGAAATTGAAGTCCCATTTGCTTTCATATGGAATGTGAATTCACATTCATTACAGGAACATTTCCTTTTAGTAACACTTTCTGAAGTATGTATAATCACGCCATTTTCTTGTTTTGACTGCTTTAATGTTGACACAGATTGCTCCAATGGGTGGAGAACAGAAATCACCATCCTAATGAATTGCAAGGTGTAGTTCAGGCTCAAGGATACTTTTCCTGAAATTCAACTACTTGCATTTTAAGCATATCCTTATTGTTTAACTGATCCCTCCAGCATTTAACTAGTTCAAGGTAAACTTTCTGCTTCAACTGACTTTAAATGTTTTCTTTTACCTAAGAGCTCATGGATAATAAGTTGTATGTGGCCTAAAAGTTGCTCAGCATATTTGAGATGCAGAGTTTAGGGAGGAAAGTTTTGTCTTCTGTGATCTTAAACAATATGAAGAAACGTAGTTTTCCTGTAGAAGCAAGTAATCTCACTTTTACTATTGGTCTATAATTTAGTGGTCTATAATTTAGTGTGCCACTTAGCACAGCATTGCAGTGTGTATTTAACAGTTTCCTTTGCTGTTGTTACCTTACAAGTTGTGCAGATACTGAGTAATATTTAAAAGTCTTTTTATGTTAAACAAAACCAAGCAGTACAGAAATTTGTCCCTTGAATAGCTTTTGTTGTCTTAAGGTAGATATTTTGTATCTGCCTGGATATTAAATTAGTTGTGGGATAACTCTCAAAAGCTAAAGGGAGCTGTAAGGGGCTGGACATGTTCCCAAGTTCCTGAACTTGATTTTTTTTTTTTTATTAGCAAGAATGTTTTTATCCACAATTTTTGAAAACACACCCACAATGCATTATAGTTGCTTTTAAGCTTGACAGAAAATACTTTAAAATTAAAGTATCATTAACACCATTGCTTTTACATTTTTCTCCTTTCTTCATGATAACGTTCTGATATTTAAAAACCTTTCCATCAGCGAGACTTAGAGTGGTGATAGTAGAAAAATCATTTCACTGAGAAATGAAGACTTAAAATCTGAGCTCTGTGGGACGCAAATGGAGCATAAGATATCAAATCATGAATCTTCTATGGGAAAAAAAAAATGTCCTGTCTTCAAAAGCAGAGTATCAGATCCTTGGCTATACCAGGATGGCCCTTGCTACCTTTGCCACCAGAGAGGTTATGGGATCTTATATGGACTATAAAACCAAAATCAAAATCACTACAGGAAATTTGGTTTGGAGTAGAAAATACTTCTGTAAATCTATGAAGTCTTCACAGTCTTTTTTCTGGGAACAGAGAACTAGAGTACCTGCCTGCCACTCACACACACATGCACGCACCCCCTGCGCCCCTTTCTTCTTTTCCAGTCCTCAGGCATGTGTTTTGGCAAGGAAGCCTGGGCCCATGGAGTCACTGGTCTGTCTGTGATGTGTCTGGAACCACAGCCTAAGGAGCTGCAGTCTCCTTGCAGGCCTGTCTATTTCATAAATTTGGTCAGAAACAACCTAACGTTCATGGCTGCAATAGTGTGATGAAGCAGATTAAAGGAGATGTCTTCCTTTCATCAGTGTAGCTCTCCAGTTTTCCTTGGCGTTAAGATGAGTCCCTGGGGAGAGGGAGGATGGGTGCTCTGTGAGCATTGACAAAACGTTTCTGCGCGGGACTTCTGGTACGTTTTCATAGCACGTTTCCTGAAATGCCACAGTTGGTGGTCTGTTATGGGAAGTTTAGTCCCCACCCCTGTTCTGAAATATAAGAACAAAGTCTCAAGAAGTCAAAAGTGAACAATAGAAGTTTATCTTAATCTGTCAGGATGGTCCAATGCGGATAGCCAGGCAGTAGCTCCCAGCTCAGCCTCTTCATGGACGTGGCGGGAGGCCATGTGCTGTGGATCAACGTTTCCTCCCAGCAGTTATTTCTCCATCATCTACAGGGAGAAGCATGTGGGCTGCATGGAAGCCTTCTGTGGCCACCAGTTGGCTCACACTGATCATGCATGAACATGCTTGTGCTCTACTAGACTTTGCCTCTGCTCTTTCTCTTAATATTATCAAATAATTCTTATCCTTTTCTCATTAAACTCTTTTTCAAGAATAACTAAAGCTCTTCCTTCTGTTCTTCATCTTCTTCCCTTTTCTGGTTAGATGACTGTAGGAAAGGTCTCACGTGCAATTGGAGCTGTGGCTGAAGTTCTTGTCAATCTATATGTGAATGATCACAGACCCAAGCCACAGCTTCCTGCCCTTGAACTGGTAAGACTAAACCCAAAAAGAAACAATAACATGACTTAAGAGTGGTGTTTTCAGAATGTCATCGTGACTTAAGAGCCTAGTTGTGGACTGCTTTAAGCTTTATGAAAGATCTTAATCTAACACTTAATAAGAAATCGAGTGCATGTTGGCAAAGTATGCTGATGTGTGGATATGATGGAAACATTGCTCACCATGCCTTCTATTTATACTTTTATTACTTGTCTGTATGAATTAAAACTTCTGGAGGCTTTTATTAAATGTAATTACTGGTACAATTAGTAACAGAAGACAATTATTAATCAGGGTGCCTTCTAAAGAAAGTTTTGTATAGTACATATTTATGCAGTTATTTTTTAACACACAAATGCTGAATCACTGTGCCTCATTTTGGAGAGAGCTGTTTTTAAACTCTGACACTGTTCTGTGTTGAATTCAGAAGCGGCCTCTGAACAGAGCTACAGGTTCTTCCCCCATTCCTCATTCTCCATCTCCTGCCTCCACTGCTCAGAGCTGTCAGGTATTGGGAAGTGAAGGAAGGTGGTGTGTTGTGGTGGTGACACTGACTTACTAGTCAACACTAAACTCTGATTGCATCTGCTTCATTGTAACTATCTGACCTGTTCTATTAACATCATATTTTTAAAAATGCGTTTGTGTACTTTTCCATTTGCATGGTTGTGTGTTTGGAAAGTTTCATACTCTGAAATGATCCATCACAGCAAAATGGATTACTAATAGTAGATCTGTAATAGGATTCTCAACTTTAAAGCACAAGAGTGTGATTTGTCACAATGACAGTTGTGACTTGCACCTAACATTAAAAAAATTGTTCCAAGGCTGACTTTTGCTGGCAAATTAAAGATGAGTTGTGTGGACTGTGTGCTGCTGTCTATACGTGCCTGGACTGTGCCAAGCCTGCGCCTCGTCTGTCCCATGCGCAGTATCCTCGTGGCGTTGGGGATGGAAATGGTGGGAGATGGTGGCGGCTGTGGTGGAAACAGAATGCTCATCTGTATCAACCTATAATTTAGCAGAATACAATAAGGAAAAGTAACATCCTCATACCTGCCTCTAAAAAGAACAGAGAAGCCCAGTGGTATCTAATCCGTCTATAATTTATTCTTCTGTACCTTTTGCGTGTATATCCAGAGAGGATGAGATTTGTGGCAATTAAAGAATGTTAATTACCAGCCTGAATTCAACAAAAACTTTCAAAATAGTCTCAAGTTGTTAACGTGGATCGTATTTTAAAGTCCAATGAGTTAAAAATATTCGGAATGTCCATAGTAGGAATGAGATTTTTTTTTTTTAAAACGAATCAAGCCCCAGCTTGGGCTGTAGTCTCAGGAGGAATACAGCTGAGAGAGGAAGCACATCTGCAGCGATGTAAATGGTAGTTTAGACACCAGCATCGAAGACTGTCAGGTTTTCTTCCGGACCTTAAAGCACAACCCTACGTTTTCCTTGGGAGTGTGTTTGAACTGAGACCTCAGGGTGTCTGATTTCTGAGCTCCAAGCACGTCTGTTGTTCGAGGCTGGCAAGGTCTGCCTTTGCCCTCTTCTGAGAAGCTCCGATGCCCGCAGCTGTGAGATGTGAGTGCCTGTGCCAGCACAGTGCAGGGTGATGAACGAGCAGATGCCGCTCTTGTACCTGCGTAAACACAGTGTCACTGAACTCCCAGAGGGAAGCTGGATGCAAATCCGGCTGAAAACTCATCCCTTAAAGTCCTCGTGATGTCTGATTTATGAATTGCTGCATAAACCTACGGAATTGCAGCAAATGAGTAATAAAATCAGCTGACTTACGTTAATTGTGTGTGTGGAGGGGGCTGTGTAAAACTTCGAGCAGCTAAAGCAGCTGCCCACTTAATAAGAATTTATATCTGGGTGTAGTGCAACAGCTTTATGTGCGTTTCTATTTTTATCTTTTAACAGGGGTCTCTGCGAAAAGAATTTCCTCAGTCAATTGGGGGGAGTGACATTTGTTATTTCTGCAAAAAACGGGTATATGTTATGGAGCGGCTGAGTGCAGAAGGCCACTTCTTTCATAGGGAGTGCTTCAAGTGTGAAATATGTTCTACAACACTCCGTTTAGGAATTTATGCCTTTGATGTTGAAGAAGGTAATATAGGGGCTATTTAAGAATATTTTAAAATGTCTGAGCATTGATGCTTTTAATGGAACTAGGGAAAAAGACCTGGCCGAGTAACTCGGTCAGGAGGAGGTCTGCCAAGTATGTTGTTTGTGTCCATGCTGATCTCTGAGTCCTTGTACTTAGAGTTCTAGTCTTTCAAAAGAATCCAGTTATGACAGACCTGAGCTTTAAATGAAGAAATCCTCTGAGGGAAATAAGTTGAGTGACCAAAATACATTTGTCCATTCAGGGATCAAAGCAGGGAGGGGACAAAGGAGATTTTTCTCCAATGACACAGAATTATTCTTATCTCTGGCCACTTATAGCTGGCTATCAAATAACGTGATCTATAAGGATAAGCAAAGATAGTGGCAGATTTACACAGATGGGGGCAAGTATAGGTTATTTCAAGATGTTATGCCTCAGGAGTTGAAAGCAGTAGTACTGGCCAAGCAGCAGTGTAATTCATTCCAGTCTGCTGTAGAGAGGTTCAGATCTTGAGTGCTCAATCCCACCTACAGCCTGGAGTTTTAGGGATGGGGCGTTATTTTTTGTTCTTTTTTTTTTTTTTTTAGTTTAGTGAGAAGTTATTAAACTGAATTGAAATTCCCTTGCTGCTTCCAAATATTTGGGTAGATCTGAGTATTAATCTGATCTCCTCTTATGAAAGGATTAAAGACTCAAGGCCAAAGGTGGTTCTTTTACAGTCCAGAGAATCTTCTGCAAAGACTTTTTGAACTGATTCTTTGACTTTTTGATGCTTGATGTCTTGTATTGGTTTGTGACTTGGTATTTATAGAATCTTATTCTTCTGCCATTTATTAATCTTAAACCTGTGTGGTAGATACATGATCTCACCTTATGTAACAAACGTGCAAATCTGCGTACTGTAAAAGAAACCCATTCAGAGTTGGTGCCAAATTTCCCATTTCTTTAGCTGCCCAACCATTAATTATCCTGATTTCATCTTTGTATAGATGCAACAGTCAGTTTTCAGTCCACAGACATGTAGATAAAATATCATATAATTTATTTTTTCTATTGTAGGTAAATTTTACTGCAAACCTCATTTTACGCACTGCAAAATCAGTACTAAACACAGAAAGAGAAGAGCAACTTTACAGCTCCAGGGAAAGGTACGTATGGGTTATATTACTAACGCAGGAAATGTTGAGGCAGCTTTATCTGGAACAGGGTGCAATACCTCTGTATGTATGTCTGTGTGTGAGATGTTTTCTACCCCATGTCCAAAAGTAGTAAAATCAATACTAAAATAAAACCTCCTGGTTCTGTGAATGTGACATATTTATAGTCTGATTCTCAAAGGAAGTTAACTTTTCCTATACAAAGTAAAGTTGAACTTAAAAGCAATTGGAAATGAAAATATGTACAAAAACTTGAAAACAGTAACAGAAACGGGACTTTACATTTTTAGAAGTAGATTTAACTTTTTTTTTAATGCTTTGTATAAGGAGGCAACAGAAGCATGGAAGAAAGAGGAACCCAAACCTGCAGAGACCATCACAGAAAGCACTTTGTCTACTGCTAGCAGTCCAGAGGACAGGTCCCCAGGTATCCTGACTTCCTTCTTTAGGGACGCGCTAAGCTGGCCCCTTCGGGTGACAAGGGATCTGCTTGACATTCCCAGACGCCTGTCTAACCGGATGCATGGTTTTCTACACGCTACCAATCTTCATTTCAGGGACAATGCGTATAACTATACCTACTTGTACGAACTCTTGAGCCTTGGTGTGCCGTTCCTCTGTGCTCTTCTGGAGGTTCTTACTCATATGTACCGGGAAGCAGAGCTATCCCTTGAAAATGTGCTTGAATGGGTGAAAAAATTCTATAGGGTTTAAATTCTTCTATGTGTCTTGCTCAGTTGTGCCTTTCAGATTTTCAAAATTAACCACCTCATTATTTTCTTGAGGTTTTTTTTATTTGGTTGGATTTTTTTACTTTTCTTGCAGTTTAATGTGTGACAAATGAACGGTGGATTCCTTCTGATATAAACGAGGTGCAATCAAAATTTTCAATATAAAACGTACTGTATGTTAGAGCATGAAGGCAGTGTCCAGACACATTTCCAGAACACAGAGACAGATGAAGGATATTTTGTAGATTTTTTTTTTCCTCCTCCATTTTATCCTGTGATCATACCATTGAAGGGGTGGTACATTTTAAAACCATTCTTCTCCCCGCCCCCTCCTTTTTTTTTTTTTATTAGACCAGGAAAGAATGTGTGTTCTTTCGGATGTTTGGGAATATTTATGACAAATGACTGGGTTTTGAAACCTGAATATGGCGCATACCTTTTTTTTTTTTCTTGCTTTCATCTTTGCTCTGGGTTATGAGATTTATAACTTGCATGAATATGTTTAAAAAAAATAATATGTACTTAGTTCACGTTGCTTCTAATCATGCCTTTTACATTTCCTACATGTGATAGATACCCTTTGTTGATAGTGGTTATAATCTGTACTACTAATTTATTTAAAGTTTTGAAATAAATTTGAAGAGAAAATCTTGGTTGAAGGCTTGTTTGAAACTGTAAGAAACTGCAAGTCAAAAGAACTCATACTGTAATTAGACCTGACTTATTTGTCAAATCAAGGCTTCCTTGTTAGGTGGCTGATTTGAGGAATATCAATTTATGGAGCACTCATCTGTAACTGAAATCGCTGCTGTTGTGCCCCTGGGTAGGCACTGCTCCTCTTGTCTTCTGGAATTTTTTAAAAATACAAGTTTAGATTGAACAACAAAAACCTACAAATGTATTCTAAGGCGATTACTTAGTTGGGTGTTTCATTCATTTCAGTGTGTAAAGCTGATGGCAAAAACGTGAAATTCTATTATCTGGAGCAGCTGCTGAGTAAATTTCTTTCAGATGTCTCTCAACAAGGTCTACCTTAATCAGAAGGTGTGGGGACAGGTTAAATAAGCTGTTTAATGGCAAGGAGACACCAACATCCCAAATTCTGATTTCTTTCAGCCTAGTTAGCCAGTGAGGTAAGCATGCTCCCTGCCTCTCAAATACTTAAATGTTTACATTCAGAAGCTAACCAGGAAATAGGTAAATACATAAACATAGTAATACGTATAGCCTAAAATTAAAAACATCTGTAGCATTTATTTCTAGTCAAAAGAGTGGGGCTTAAATAATAGAAAATAATGTCACATTCAGTTAGTACCAAAGTTGAAGATCACCTTCCAGTGATCTTAAATGACTGCGCTGCTTATGGGCTGGCAGTTTTTTTATTTTTTTATTTTTCTTTTAACATAATGTGGGAAAAGATTGTTTGAATTGTTTTGTTTCCCAGCTATTAAAAGGAAATGTGTCTTCTGTTTAAAATAAATGACAAACTGGATTTTTATTCTAGATAGTTTGACTTTCTTTAAATTACAAGGATAAAGCTTTCCACATTTTAGAGTGTTTATGTATTTTGGGAAAAAATTGTGAAGTATACGCCCAGAACTTGAGAATGTGCTTGAAGAAAATTATTTAGGTACAAGGTAGCATTCGTTTGAAATAAATTACCATTAATGGTCAAACACATATGCAGCAAAACTTTGCTAGAATATTGACTGGACACAGTGACAATTATAGTAACATGGTGAGCATCTGTATATATGTGAAGAAATGTATCTGTACCTTTTTTATAACATTTAAAAAAAAAAACTACTTTGGAACACCTAATTTTTTTTGTAATGATAGTAATTGTTTCACCCTAAAAAAGAAAAAATCTGCAGTGCAATTTACCATGTTACTTCTGCAACACAGCAAACTGCTAAGTGGTGAAGTTTTAAAATTTGGCTTGCCATCAGTTTTGATCTCAGTTTGTCAACAGCACAGTCTTTAGGAACACTTTGTCCTGAAATTTTCTCCTGCTGTTTACTACAGGAAATTTTCTGCTTTTCAGCAAAGTGACCATAATGGTAAACTTACAGAAAATGGTGATGCAGTAAGAAACTGGGAAGTCTCTGACATGCAATTAATTTAAAGCAAATGAATCTTAATAGAAGAAAGTTTAAAAAATAAAATAATAAAAAAAAATATTAAGATGGTATTGGCTTTATATAGATTTATGTAATGGGGAATAAAATCCCTACATTCCCATAAAAGAATTCAGGAACTTGCATACTGAAAATGTTTTCCTGAGGAATCTTAATTAGACTGCATATTCCGCTTGGAGTTTACAAGTGATTCTGTTGGGAAGCTTTTTTTTGTTGATATCAATCTAATTGGTAGATTTTATTTTTTTTTTTTAATTCTCTTCATCTTGATATTCTGCTAGTAAGATTCATGCCTACTTGTCTTTGTTCTGGATTTAATGAAAAAAACAGTTTCATTTTGGCCAAGTGTTTGTGTCTACATAATATTTCTGATGCTTTCCTATATAACCAGGTTAAGTTCTGTGTTATTTTTTTTTTTTCCTGCTGTCTTTTCTGTGAATCTCCCTCGTTGCTTTTAGTCCAATTCATCATTCCGGTGCTGCACCCGCTCACTGGCTGAAGCCTTTCTGCTCTCAGGTGATTTTTTTCCGCTTGCCAGTTCAAAAATTGTGTGACTAACACTGTTGTTTGACAGCATTTCATTGTGCGTGTTTGTTTTTTGTTTGATTTTTTTTTTTTTAAGACTTTTGGAGCAAACTGTGCGTGTCTGGTATATTAATGGATGTAGCTTTGGCATGATCATTTAACTGTTGCTGACTTCCCAGTTCTACAAAAGGTAGCGTCTGGGCTCTCTGTAGAGAATGTTTTTCTCTCTGTGTCTGTGCATGTCCTCTCCCTAGTGCCTTCAAGGTAAGTTAGGCATTGTTTCTTTAAAGAACTAGTTAAAGCCTCATTTCTTTCAAAGTGTTGAAGGAAAGATTTAAAATAAGGTTAGGAAAAGACTAGCCGGCTGATTGTCCTGGTTAGCTTGAGCGATATTTCCATTGAGCTCAAATATGCAATGAGCAAATAACATTTGAGTGCTGTGGTTCTTTCTAGCCACTTCTTTGCTTTCATACTGGTAAAGTATGACATAAAAGGAGTCTGTTGAAAAAGTAGCCAAAGTGATGCAAATTCCAGTTTTCCAGCCCAAGTAACATAGTAGGCAGGCCTAATAGCAATAAATGTGCATGCTAATTATAGTCTGTAATACCAAAATGCCAAGTTTATATAACCAGAGTGTTTTGGTTTGAATTGTTTTGTGAACTAATTAACTAGGCCTCATTTGCCACTCTGATTAATGGACTTGTATTGCTGCACGAGCCATCGCCACTACTCTCCGTCACAAATTTGTGTGATTATTTCATACGTATTTTTATGTGAATTCCGGTATGTGTAATTGCACATTGACAGTTTAGAAGGGGAAATCAATCCAAACAAGAACTGAGGGCTCCGTCTGACAAGCAAGTGCGCTGAGGTTTTGCCTCACAAGGCCATGACCCAGCCGTTCCTCCTGAGGATCTCTTTCTCAGGAATGGATCTAAGCAGCAGTTTTCAGGAGGGGCCAAATGTTCTCTGCCACTTGTCCCGTTTCACATGCCTCAGCCACGAATACGGAAGGGCTGTGGGGTCAGAGCCACATGCTTCTTATCTTGCTGACCTGTATGTTTGCATGACTAAAGAAAGCTGTAGTATTTATTTGTGTGGGTATCCTAAAATGTCTTGATGGCTTTGGAAGTCCCCACACTGTGCCCACACAGAAACCCCTCTGTATTTTAAGCGTCACTTCCTGCACAAATGGTTAGGATGTGACTTCCTATGTGTTTCAGGGCTACGGTGTTTTGTTACAGAGCTCAGCATGCTTTGAGATGAAGGTCATGACATAAAGGTCTGCCATTTCAAACCACTTCCCATTGCTGTGTTCTTTACCCTCAGTTGCAGAGTCGTCCTAGCTCTTCCTGGCCAGTGAGGATTCTGTCCTTCTCTTCCTAAATCTTCTGTCTTCATTTGACTTTACAACTGAATATTTTCATAAAATAGTTTTTAACGCTGTATTTAAATTTTCACATGGAAATTCTGTATTTTGCACATGGTGAAAATTGTTTTAGCTTTATTTATGATATCTGCTGTAAACAAAAATAAATGTAGTTCTTTATAAGTCTCCTTGTTTCATCTCTTCCTTTTCAAAATATTTCCTGAGGACAGAGACTTAATAGTGACTTCACACTCATTTTGCAAATTCCTTTTCTGGTGGATGGTGTTGTGTTATCTTTGTTATGGCCTGACCCAAAGGCCAGAGAGTTTCACTGTGGTGGTATAATTGCACACATGTCCCTTTTGAAAGGGATATATGTCAGGGCCCTTGACAAGTTATCCCATGCGCTGCAGGTCAGGAGGTGCCTGGTGTTGGGATTTATCCTTCCTGGCAATGTTAAGTTGGTGTTGGTGAGCATGGGGGTTGCTTGTATTCCAAACACAAATGACATTTGACTTCTCTTTGACTTCTGTTACCTTCCCTTACATTTTTATTTTACATATTAACAAATGTCTTAAAGGTCATACTAAGTTAATGTGTTTGGGATCTTATATCATGTACAGGAAAAACAGGTAATAACTGTGGGTAAAGCTTTACCTTTGCTGCTGGCTCTGGAATGCTATTTGCAAGCTCCCTATCTTCTGGACTCCTGGAAACTGCGGCTAATGGTGACCTAATATCTGCTAACAGTGGCCTTGTTTTATTTATTTGTTTATTTAGCCTTCCTTTGTGCTTTCATGGCTTTTTTCAATTTTCATTTTTGTTTTTTAAAGCTGGTGGTGTGGTTCTTCTTAATCAGGAGGTTCTTCAGAAGAGCTTTCCTTAGTCTTCCTCCCCTTTTAGCTTCTTTCTTTTGCTTGCTCTGCAATTCTTATGCTATAATATTGTATTTTGTATTTAAAGAAAAACACAAATCCCAGAAAGAATAGTCCCAATAATATAATGGAAAGATTGTGTTATATTTTTTTAAAGTTAATTCAAATCGAGCCTCACTAGGATTGTTTGAATTATAGAAATGAATTTTTTGAAAGTGTTGCTAAAGACAACATTGCTAAAGAACAACAAATGTTATTCCCAATGAACTTATTCTATTGTCCCTGCCAAAGAAGAAGCCACTATGCACAGTAGAAAGTTTGCTGTCCAAGGGGGAGATGATTTGCATAATTAAAACATGGGACAACAAATACCATTTAAGACAATACTTGGCACTTGCTGAATTGCAATGGACAAAGCAATTTGGGTAAAACTAAGCTTGCTCTATGCACAATTTATACTTCCAGAGCAGGCTTGTTTCTGCCATCTTTACTTGATCGTTTTAGGCAGTGACAGTGGCATGGAAACATCAGAAGAGGCTTTTGTGTCTGCAGAGGTGATGATTTGTTTGCCATTGAAGCTTTGAGAGGTGCCAGATGTTCATGCTGTTCTCATAAAGTTTCACTTATTCCTGTTAAAATATCAGTACAATAACTTGGAATTGGGGTAACGTTAGTGTCCAGATTTGTTGTAATTGTTTCTCATGGTGGCACAGAAGGCCCAAGAAGTCAAATCGCTGGCGAATTCTATCGCTAGAGGGATATACCTAGCAGTAAACAGTCCACACCTTGGAAAGCTTGTGGACAAGACAGGAAACAGTGTTCGGAAAGAAATAAAACAGGCAAAAAGAGCAATGCGAGGAGAGCAAGTTTGTGTTAGTTCCCTCATGCTCAGTCAAAATCATTACACAATAAAATGAAATATTCCTTGTTTTGCTCCCAGTAATACCGCTAAAGGAAGCAAATAGCGGGTTAAGTTCTGTGTGAATTTAACAAGCCTAATTTGGGACTCCTGTCCTCCTCTGGCCATGTGAGCAGACCTCCCTGTGAGTAGGAGGTCTGAATCCTCCTCCTGCTCTCACGTTGATCTTTATCCAAAACCTCCAGCGCTCTCAGTCTCCAGCGAGCACACGCTGTTATAGATGCACCCAAAGCAGTAATGCTTTGTCCCTTCGCATGGTTGGAATTGGCAGCGGTGCTTGTTTGAAAGGCGACCGGGCGGCTCCTCTGGGCTCGAGGTGCCACTGAACTGGGTGCCTTCCAAACATCATGATTTCAGAGCAGACGATACTGATGCCTCTTTACATGGTTAATGCTTTCGAAGACTGGAGAGCTACTTAATGTTATAGCTGCCATTATAGCACTTGAAGTGCAGAGGTGACGTTTGCTGTGTCTGGCAGGCTCAGGGCTCTGTCTTTCCTGCTCTTTATGCTGGTTTAAATGGGTTCTGAGCTTGTCTCTTGCCCCTAGGGCCATTTGGATTGGAAATACATATACAGATGTGCTGGGTTTTTTTAAAAGCCAGGCTAATCTTTTATTCTCAAAGCAAGGCAGCATTAACTGCCTAGATGTCTGTTAATGAAAATGAAACATGTTGGGATTCTGTAAAGGTAACCTTCCTTTATTGTAATTAAGCTAATGCTTTATAATGAAAAAGATCTTGCAGATTTTAAACGTACTTGATTTGAAAAAAAGAGTACAAACAAGACTTATTAAAATTGCTCAAATTAAAACATCAGCCTTTCATTAACTCTACCAAGAAGAGTAATTTTCTGTTCGTCTTGGTTTCTTCTAGACTGCTACAGCTATAAAATGCCAGTGAAAGTTACCTCTGTATGTATTCCATCCTCATGCAAGGGCTATGGTCTGCGTCTTAGCACAACATTATGGCAATTGGTTACTGTAATTAGCTTTAATTCACTTCTATCCCACTCATTCCTCATATTCCAATCAAAACAATGAGTTCTGAAATGCATTGAATTCTGCATTAGTATTTACCTTTTTGAAGGCATGGCATGTTTACAGATGACTTGATTTTTATTTTTTTTTTGCATGAAAGATCATGTTGCTGAAGATCAGAAGACGTTATGTATTAATGCTTGATCCAAGTATACATATTAGTCATGTAAATATTTCTCCAAGTCTCTTTCCTTTTCTTCATGATCTATGTTAACATAAAAAGAAGGGAGACTTTGATCTCATCTCACCAGGTGGTGGGCTCCAAACTTGTTTGAAACGGATGGAGTTTCTGGCATGTTTTTTTGAAATGTGAAATTACGAAGAAATTTGCATGTTGCTATAGTCTTGAATTTGATATTTATTTTTTTTTAGCATTTATTTTACAGGTATTCACATCTTTTTGTTTTAAAGGTTTTGGTAGTTCGTGTGCAAAAAATATTGTTTTGACAGACATCGATCACTCTAGAGACTGAAACTGTTGTCGCTGCACTCTGAATTCTCAATTACTGCCTGCATTAATATACCAGACTAACACAGATTGCTCTGATAAAATATATATTTACTCGAAAGTTATAGAAATAATGTATTATAGCAGCTTTTGTTCGAGAAGCAATTTTCCATAAAGATATACATTCAGTGTATCTAGTAGGTTTTCACTGAGTTGCTTTTCCCTTTATCTCTGTTAATTTTTGCTTGGTTTGTATTAGAGTGTTAATGTGCACCGTCCTAGGTGCATTCAAAAGTCATGTACTTTGCGCTCTGTCTTGCTTTGCCAACTTCAAATTCCCTGGTTATTTTTCATGCCTGGATACAGAAGTGTCTGTTTATCAGTTAAGTAATGGATACTTTGGAAAAGGTTTTTGCTGCTGAAGAGTTCGTGTAGGTGCTGACGTGGGCCCACGGAGGAGCGGGAGAACATGGGCTCCTGGCGTGAGGACAAGAGGGAGTCATGGAGGAACCCATTGCTGGGCCATGGGTGGAGAAGGGGCAGCAGGAAAGCATTTGCCCTCAGAGGTTGGAAGCCGGGCAGGTGATGCGGCCCTACTGCCACAGGGAGTGGTGTGCCACCCATGGAAGCGGGAGAGCCAGTTGCCTTTATTCTTTGCCATTTGTTAGCCACCATAACGTGGAAATGACTTCTGTAGATGTAAGAAGCAAGCATGAGGAAAAAGGAGAAATGTGGCAAGAAATGAAATCTGTGAAATGTCAAGACACCGTGTCTTTTACAGGGGTTATTTTTCAAGGACAAAACCATGCCTGACAGTTTCTTGGGTGTGATGAAAAGTCCCAGTTTGGACTGACATCAGTTTGGGAATGCTGCTAGAAGGCCTATAGTTTCCTAAGGCAGGTCTGTGAAATACCTTAACAGGACGTCTTCAATTTCAAGCTCTAACACAGGTGGTGCTCCTATGCAGCCTCATGTGTTTTGAAGCTCAGGTTAGCTCTGAAGCTGTAACAGGTTTGAGCTCGAGTTTCACTCCTGTGTGGGCTGATGACCACTGTGTTGCAGGAAGACCAAGGTCTAACCGAGCTGGAGGTGTTGTAGTTCCCCTGTCCCCTCTCACAGTCCCATGTGGGCTACGCTTCCCTGGCCAGTGCCTTCTGCTCTGTACCTCCTTCCTGAGCTCGCTGGGTTCGTTTTGGCTATGCTTCCACAGCACTGCTATGAAGACACCTTTCTCCTGCCTCCACAGCTTTCTTAAAGCACTGCTTTATTCTAAGCAGGACTCATAAATTACTTTTTTGGTTTATTGTACAGTAAGAAGTCAGAGAGGCAGTAAAATGTGCTGGGTGTGCTACAAATCAGTTTGTGGTCTGCTGACTGAATTTCTTAACGTCAGTTTTTGGTGCCAACTGGTGTCCGCTTTCACCGTTGGAGCTGCCTACGTTTACAAGTAACTGTGTTAGAATTTTTCGCCCCTGTCGTTGCCTGAGCAGCTCCATACAGGGCCAAGTAGGGTCCACTCCTCTTGTCAATGAGCGATGGGGTGACACAGTTTATCAGCAGGCTGAGAGCCTCAGGATTGTCAGTGGGGAAAGCAGGATGCAAGCTGGGCTGGGATCTTTATGAGGAGCACCGTGTTGCGTTGGGCCAGTTGCACAGTGGGGAAAGTGAGCCGCGTGCCAGCCCCAGGTAAGAGCAGCACGTGGGATTTCAGTGGTGTTTTTCACCCGAGGACCTGAAAGCCCTTTGCCAGTCCCAGGTGGCTGGGCAGCAGTGGGTAAGTGGTGCTCCTGCTTCACAGCCCTCAGGGAGGCATGAGAACGCGATCCGTCAGAGGTGCCAAAACATCACATCCCAAAGGCAGGTTGAGGTTTCCTTCTTCCTCCCCCT